GTCCACCCAAGAGGCTATATATGGCTCCTGCGCCCATCTACGCTACAATAGATGGCTTCTGAGTCCACCTAAGAGGCTGTAGATGGCTCCTGACTTCATCTACGCTACAGTAGATGGCTTCTGAGTTCACCTAATAGGCTGTAGATGGCTCCTGAGTCCACCTACGCTACGGTAGATGATTTCTGAGGTCATTTACAATACAGCAGACGGTCCCCGAGTCCATCCACTATGGAGTGGATGGCTTCTGAGTCCATTTACGCTACAATATATGACCCCTAAGTCCATCTACTTCAAAATGTTGTATCTCAATTTTTTTACCTATGCTACAAATCCCCCAGCCCTGTTCCCATTATGCTCCTCACTTGTATAAGAGCATTGACTGCTTATAATTACGAACCCTTAAGTTTTTTTCCATCTTCCTTTAAAGTCCTCTTAATTTACAATTTTTCCTCTTATGAGTTAGGAGATAAATCTTTAAACACCCTTCCGATTAACCTGCAGACATCTAGAAACTCCAGCCATCCAACCATGTTAGGTGTTAACAATTTGTGACAAGCGTTCTAACAAAAATACATAAGCCATACCGTCATACCATAACAAAGCAAATAATGTCAAGTGCAATGTCATTCTATAGTTGTTACACGCAAAGCAACAAAAAACACTACACGCGCCAAACAGTCATTGACCGCATTCAAGGATAGCATTTCGCATTTCTAATATTCTTGTGTGAGCTTTAACTATGCAATGTGGGTACAACAACATAACAGTTTCACACACACACACCCACATCTATAAACATTCATGGTGAATCGCATTGTGTTACTCTTAATAATGCAATGCAATGCCAGGTAGAGATAGGTATTAGAAGAAAAAAAATAAACATTAGAATCAAAAAAGTCAATGAACCGATCAAGGCCATATTTCTAAACACCACACCACATAGATTACACTACAACAACAACAAAACTATTGCAATGCGTGCGTTCATTGCCAATTCTTGAGTTAGATAACACCGAGTGACTACGAGCATGGTGAGAGTAAATGCCCGCGAAATATTTATTGCTCGTGTGTATGTTGTGTGGCGCCCAATGAGAAATTTAGCACAAACGACCATCGTTTAGTTTTCTTATCACACACGGATTTTGAAGAGAGTTAGGGTATGCCGAAAGCTTTCGTACTCTCTTCCCTAATGCTCTCACTGATCTAATCAACAATCGTTTTGTGCCCGTGTGGGGGGAGGTGCATGCTCTTCTCTCATGAGACACTTTACTAGGGAGAGAGATAACAGTTATATTTGTAAATGAATGCAACTACAACTATAATGGAGAGAGAGGCGGGTGGATCTGGGTCTGTTTGAGCAATAAAAGTGTGGGGATTTTTATAGTTTCCTAACCATTTTTTGTCAGTTCATTGACCCAATTATGGCAACTATTTTTGGGTTCATTGAACTCTTCGCTTTTGGCCAGAAAGTGAAATTTGAGTGTTGAACACAAAATATCAGTAAAAATTGGCTATATTTTCGTTGGTGATAAATGTCTTAAATCACGCACGTAGAATCATGCTCTTGACATACATACGTATGTATATCGGTACTTACTTATCTATCAATGAGTTTGTTTATTTCAAGGGATTTAAATAATTGCAGGATTTCGAATAAAAAAAAAAACAATTTTACAAAATTTATTTATGATAGAACTGAAAATATCTCCTGATTTCAAATAATTATAACCAGCTCAGCATGTTCGGTAACATGGTAAAATGAAAATGTAAATGAGGTAGTATCAGTCGATTTTGCCGACAGATGTATACACCCAGCCTTGAGTTATGATTATTCCAACTGTTGACCTTCTACGGGGAAGGTTCCGAAGCAGTTGGCCAATATTGTCCAATTCGTATATGACCTAAAACTGATATAAAATATTACAACGCGCCAGATTTGTACTATATCGACTACTTCCTGCACTTTATATGAGGCATGTGCAAATTTTTGGAAAATGGGGAAATATAGGGTGAGATAAAAAAAAAACTACAAAGTCAAAAGTCAAAGGCCATATTTTTTTCAATTTTTTTAAAATTTAATTGAATGAAAGCAAAAAATTTCGGAAATAGCATCAAATTTTAGAATAAGTTTAGGTTTGCTTGAATTGGTCACCTTTGGCACGAGTTATGGCCTTCAAATGGCCAATGAAACCGTCACATGCTGCCGAATGTTGCTCCGCGGTATTTTGGCCCATTGCCGGTGAAGCGCTTGCTTGAGGTGATCGACACTTTGGTATTTTTTAGTGCCAACCTTGCTTTCCAAAATACTCCAGACACAATAGTCCAACGTATCCGGTATCCGGAGATTTTAGTGGCCATTGTGCGCTGGAAATGAAGCATGGAACGTCATTTTGTAACCATTCTTGGGAGGCGCGTGCTGAGTGCGATGCGATTCTGGGTCCTGTTGGAATGTCCAAGGTCTGCGGCCCAAATGTTTGCGTGCCCAAGGCTTTAATACACCCTTCAGAATATTTTCGCAATAATATTTGGCCTTTATTCTGATTTAATACGAGCGGAGAGCGACCATCGATATTCCAAATTTTGACCCTTTGTGGGGAAGATACCAGATAGAATAGACCGATATATTCCATCTTCACTGCTGATATATTTGAAGAGAACCGGAAACTTATTTCGGAGTTTATAATCGTTTTGGTTATTCAATCTTTATAACAGATTTTGTGCTTATGGAAATATTGAGATGTGCTAAGTCTGAATGGAATCGGATGTTAATTTCGCGATTTATGAGCTTCATGAATATTCAAAATCTTCACCCTTTGTGGGGAAGGTACCAGAAGGAGTGGATCGATATATTCCATCTTCACATCAGATCTTGTGTTGATGGAAATAATGGGATATGTGAAATATGAAGAGAATCGGATGCTTATTTAGGGTTTTATGATCCTTTTTCGTTATTCAAAACTGTGACCCTTTGTGGGGGAGGTACCAGAAGCAATGGTCCGATCTCTACCATATTTAAAATAGATCTTGTGTTGATGGAAATATTGTGATTTGCAATGTCGGAATAGAATCAGATGATTATTTCGCTTTTTATGAGCTTCATGAATATTTGAAATTTTGACACTTTGTGGGGGAGGTACAACAAGGAGTGGACCGATATTTTCCATCTTCGCAGCAGATCTTAAGTTAGTAGAAGTAATGGCATTTGTGAAATATTTTGGTTATTCAAAACTTTGAACCTTTGTGGGGGAGGTACCGGAAGGAATGGTCCGATCTCTACAATCTTTATAACAGATCTAGTGTTGATAGAAATATTGAGTTGTGCCAAGACAGAAAGGAATCGGATGTTAATATCGTGTTTTATGAGCTTCATTGATATTCCAAGTTTTTATCCTTTGTGGGGGGAGGTACCAGAAGCCGTGAACCGATATATTCCACCCTTACACCAGACCTTGAATTTATTAAAAAATTGTGATGTGTGAAATATGAGGAGAATCGGATGCTTATTTCGGATTTTATTATCGTTTCGGTTATTCAAAACGTTGACCCCTTGTGGGGGAGGTACCAGAAGCAATAGTCCGATCTCTATCATCTTCATAACAGATATAGTGTTGATGGAAATATTGAGATCTACCAAGTCTGAATGGAATTGGATGATAAGTTCTGAATAGAATCGGATGATAATTTATGAGATTCATGAATATTTGAAATTTTTACACTTTGTGGGGGAGGTACCAGAAGGAGTGGACCGATATATCCCAATTTCACACCAGACCTTGGGTTAATAAAATAATTGTGAGGTGTGTTATTTGAAGAGAACCGAATGCTTATTTCGGATTTTATGATCGTTTTGATTATTCAAAACTTTGACCCTTCGTGGGGGAGGTACTAGAAGCAGTGGTCCGATCTCTACCATCTTTATAACAGACCTGGTGTTGATAAAAATATTGAGATGTACCAACTCTGAATGGAGTCGGATGTTAATTTTGCGTTTTATGAGCTTCATGAATATTCAAAATCTTCACCCTTTGTGGGGGAGGTACCACAAAGTGTGGACCAAAATATTCCATCTTCACACCTGACCTCGGGTTAGTAAAAATATTGTGATGTGTGTGATTTGAAGCCAATCAGACTCTCACATCAAATTTTATAGGAGTTAGAACTAAACAAAATTTTCACCCTTTGTGGGGGATGTACTTGATGGAGTGGTCCGACATTGTCCATTTTCTCACCTGATCTAGCACTGATGCAAATATTAGGATTTGCAAATTTCGAGCAAAATCGGATTATCGTTTCTCTTTCTGTGCAGTAAATTATTTTCTTTGAAAATTTCGACCTTTTGTGGGGGAGTTAACAGAAGGAGTGGAGCGATATTCCCCATCTCTGAACTCGATCTAAGTTTGACAATAATATTACTATGTATCAAGTTAGAATCAAATCGGATACTCCCTTCGTGTACACCAGCCAGACGGACTGACGCACATCGCTAGATCGACTCCAAAATTTCTTGAAACGATTTTTTTCCAAAGAGACATAGGGTCTAAAACCGTTATTTCGTTGAGGCACGCTTTGGCCGTCATTAAATGATACATACCCTCCCTAGCCATATGGCTAAGGGTATAAAAATATGATTGGGACCAATCAAATAACATCGCAGTGGGAGTAAACCATTTCTTCAGTTGTTGTGGCGTAGGCGTTACCCATTCTATGCAAGAGTGAGCAAAATGCCGATTTCCGAAAAATCCTAACTTTATTTTTTTTGCTATGAAAACGATCAATCGGCAGTCTCTATGCATTATTTTTGAATAAAAGTTCATGTTTTTATTACTGTTGTTGTTGTTGATTTCATTTTATCGATGAGAAGTGGCGCCGAAGAAAAAAAATGCAAAAGCTTTGACTACACTCTCGCTCGTTCTTTCTTCCAACAAAAAAAAAGAAAAAAACTAACAACTATAAATACTGGCAATATTAGTGCAGATCTTTAGTTGTCTCAAAAGCACCAAACGGGAATAGTCGGCGGTCAAAGAAAACGCGTCTCTTTTTTATATTTTTTTATATTTTGATTTTGTCACCTAAAAATCAATTAATTATTTCCATTTTAATAGGTTATTGTGTGTGTGTGTGTAATTATAATCCAAAAATAATTAATAATAATAATGGCTGATAATAATAACAATGAAATTCCCACCAAAAACGACAGCAATCAAAATAATAACAAAAACGAAACAACTACGTCAACGTCATCACCACCATCAAGCGCAATGCAAACAAACACTACAACACAGCAGCAACAACAACAAAACCAACAAAATACCCAAAACACCAATGAGAATAGAGAAATTCTAACAAAACTTTCTCCAAAAGTTTTGCATGCATATGAACAACTGGCGCGAGAGAGAGCAAACATTGCCTCTCCCTATGAATTAACGGCCAAACCAATCTCTGGTGTTGGTGAGAATTGTTATGGTTTGATAATGCAAGTGTGTGTGAGAGCAAAGCATGCCGTTAATAACAATGAGAGTAGTGGCAACACTGCTGAGTGTTTAACGGCGGAAACGGATGTTGGCGCAAAGCAATTGCATGAATTTATTACGATTTTAAAGATGTCACCTAAAAACCCGGCATTTCGTGATCACAGCCACATTCCGGAACTATATCAACGGGAAGTGTTCCTCTATGAGCGTGTTTTTCGCGAATATCAAACGCTATACGCAGAACAAAAGCAAAAAAGCGGAGAAAATCAACAATTTAAATTTGATATTGTCCCCGAAATCTTCTACACTTGCCTTGATCCAATGGATGAATTTTTCATCTGTGAAGACCTCTCGCTTAGTGGTCATCGACAAAATGTACGCACACAAATGCCCACCATTGATTTGGCCTCAGCCACATTTCGTGCCATTGCTAAATTCCATGCCATGTCGTTTGCGTTGCAATCCAAAAAACCGGAAATATTTAAAGATTTGATTTCAAATTATCAGGATAATTTATTTAATGAAAACATTTGTTACGTGCCACCTGCTTCGGCACTATGGTGTTGTGGCCGCTAGCTCAGGAGCCATGTTCAGGGGTTGGTTCCATCCCATACACCAATAGCCTTGGGGACGAACAATTAAACAATTAATGGATAAATACAAATTCTACATAACACAAACACTACGTACACCTGGAACAAAGGAGTTTGATATTGCCACTCCCACACTAGCCCGCCCAACCTTGACCCCGAGATCCTACATAACTGTCAATTTTATCAGGGCCCCGTATTCCACACCCACTCCCCTCAGTACAATGTACACCAAATTCACTCTCTCATGAATGAACTAGACAATCATGATTACACAAACAATCATATTACGAACAATTTATTAGTATATAAGATTTCCTTAAAATAGAACAAACAAGCTGAAATTTGAAACATTAACTATCAGGATCTCTTAGTCATTGTTTGAGGAGTTCATATATATCAGACCACCCTTCATTACTTCAGTCCACTAAATGTCACCAAATTTTGGACTTTCTAAGTTATGCAATTAGTACCTGCCTAAACGAGCTCTCTTAGGTGGTGAGGGACCCGCAAACTGGTCCACAATATTCAACGGAACCTCAAAAAAAATCTCGATTATAACACTCAAAGTAATTTGGGGTAACCCTACACTCCAATTTACTTATAAAATTTAGAATAGTTAATGTCCCTCACAAAAACAAGAACATTTATGCTGGACACAAAAAAAAACACAAATAATAAACTTAGACAACACAACTTAACCTAAATATATTATCTTAATTAAAAATTTGAATATTATATTAGTTCTTTCTCTTAATTTATATGAATTTTTCTGCCTTTTGCTTTTTCTTAAAATTTTATTTAATGGAATTTCTCCTTTTTTCTGTTGCAGGGTCTCCCTCCTGGTTCTGGTTTTTATTTTATGCCAGTGGTTGTATCAAACAAGCGGTAAGTTTAATAAATAACTTTGTTACCTGGCTTTTTGCATTCTTTAGTACAACCTGCTTTGTTCTTTTCCAGGATCACTCTTCCGCGACCTCGTCCACCAGGATAAAGCAGAACCCGGATATCATGGATCAAGGGAATTGGTGTTATGGAGGCGGTTGCTGGGGCCTCAATTTTGCGTTGTGGTGGTTGCTGTGGCCGTCAAAGATGGGCTGACCTCTCCGCTTTTGTTCGCCGAGGAGGCCAGTTGATACCCTCGAGAAATTTAAATTATTTTGGCGAAACACTGAAAGACATAAAAGCACACAACACAAAAACACTCATATATCTACACAATTATAATTCATACAAGGATCACTTACAATCAATTACTAACGCCTTCACCATAAATAATAAAATAAATATCGAGGCTTTTATTGCCTTAAAAAAAGTAATTTTTATTTTGAAATTTGGCAGGTTTTAATTTTTTTTTTACTTTTATGACCACTATTTTACTGTCGCACCACTTGAATAATAAGGGCGCGTTTTCCTTTTTCCCCCTTTTATACCTACGGGAATGACGCGGCATTTTTCCGCTTTTCGGCTTTTCCTTAATTTTTCCTGACATTTACCTTCTTTATGATACCGACCTAACGAGCCCTTACAATATCGCAGGTTGTATTTTCGATTAATTTATCTACCAAATAATCGATCCAAATACAACACTGGCAGTGGTGGCAATTCTAATTACCATTGGGACAGAACATTTCCGCTTCATTTTTTAAACACGGGTTGCTGCGGTTTGCACGTCGCGGATGTTAGCTAAAAAAAACATCAATTAAAAATTAAATAGTGCCCACCACGCAACAAAACTTCACCGTTTCTAGGCATCTGCAAAAGAAACGGTGATGTGCGTTTGGTTTCGCCATCGTTTCGTTCGTTAGAATTACCTAAAGTGATAGTGATTTCAGTGTGATAGCAAGACACATATCCAAGTATTCAGAAATCCCATTTCTGCAAAAAAAAAAAATCTGTCGATCCTTCGCCCTCGGACATTGTACCGCATTTTCCTGAAGGTAAGCATTCTTATTTGATTGTAGGCTCATAGTTAATTTCATGTTTTCCTATTTTTTTAGGTACTCTCGCTTGAATTTGTCAATGAATGCTTGGCGAATACATGGTTTTTTTGCATGTGTGTGTGTGTGTTTGTGTTCGTTCATCGCAAAAACCAAACCAACGGTAGTTCAGCGGAATGCGGTTTTATGGTGGCGGTTTGCACACACACATGAGAACACATTTCATTGAGGCGTCATTTAAATGACATTGAAAAGCAAACAGAACAAAAAGAAAACGTGTATGAAGAGTCGGTATGGTGTTAACTTGCTGCATGGCGTGGATGGCAGCGCTGCCGCTGTTGCCATTCCGTTTACATCGATCGACAAGCAGATCGTTTCGCTCTGCTTTTGTTCAGCCACATGCACGCGCAGGTATATTACGTTCCTTAAACTGATAATAGCTCTTACCCTTTATTCACTTATATTTCAATATTAATTATATTATTATTTTTTCAGGCCATGCTTGGTACTTTATAAACAGACAAATTCGTGAAATTTTGTGTATAAATAAAGTGAATTTAACCAATATTCTTCGACACTAGTGAAAGGAGGCTGAAATTATACAGGCTGAACAACATAACTTGACGTTGATGTCTACAGTAATTTGGAGGACATTATTAGCATCTCAGGTATGTCGTACTTTTTTTATGAGTTTATTGTGTGTACCATCTCAGTGAAAATTTAAATTGTTTTGTATTCTCCGGAAAAAATCGTTATCAACACAATATTAAAGAAATATTGTACCTCACACACTTAAAATTTTTTATGTCGTGCAATTTCTAGACTTTGTATAATAATAGGATTCTGAATTTGTGCAAGAAGAATCTTCACGTTTCCAAAGAGACTTCTGGAATATATTATTTCTCTGAAAAAATTAGTATTGACATGAACTACCTGGGGTAGAGCGAATATGAATCACATGTCCCCATATATTTTACCTGCGTAATCACAAAACAATTGCCGATGAAAAAATAATATAAATTTTGTGATAATTCATCTCATATTGAAAGTAAATACTTTTTCGATTGCTATCACCCAGGGTGCAATGAGTAGGTAAAAGAAAAGTGTTGCATCTAATTAAAAAAAATTCTACGGAATAATAATGAATAATTTGAATAATTACGGAAAATAATTGAATATTTGCGGACAACCATTTCTTCACATGATGGAGAAAATTAAAAAATTTTTTTGTGAGTTACATTGGACATTCAAATCTAATTGTCTACGCTTTGATTTAGAGGTCTATTATATTACATTTTTATTTGTATTTGCTGATCTATTAGCGCCGGTTATGGAATCCTTCCCAATTGATGATAAAAATGGTAGAAAAAATATGAGGGTAAAATGATGATAATTGAAACCCTGTAGATTGAATCCCTGTTTCATTTAGAATAGACATGTCTTAGTCCCAACGTGGGGAACTCCCACGCCCTGATTTTATGTCTCAAAAGCCGGGCTAATCTAAATCGTCTATAATTGGATTACAATAGTGAATTATAACAAATATTTTAATATTCCTAGATAACTAAATTTCATAATTTCGACATAATTTCCTAAAACCAGGATTGCCTTATATATATTTTCCACTAAATTCATTCCGCTTCCATGTTTACGCAAAACATTCACAAATGACACAATAAGCACGTATATAAAAACTCAACGCAACACAGATAATCTAATATTGCACTAAAGTATTTTTTTACAGCTTACGATACATTTGCTCACATTATTGAATACATATATAAACAAAAGAACATCGTGTATAAACAAAATTATTGCATCATAGATTAACTCTGCTTAATCTAGTATTGCACATAAATTATCTTATCACAGCTTGTTATACTTTTGTTTATATTTTTATATCCTTTGCGTGGAAATTACCAAGTGGTTTTCCTTGGAGCGTTTCTAGCTCATACATATTATTGCCCACTGGTTTTACTACCCTACATTTCAGGAATTTCTTGCAGAACTTCGCATTGATATTATTTTTGAAGTCTGAAAGGGTATGATTTCTCCTATACACTTCCTGTCCCGGTAGAAACTTGACAATACGTGCTCGTTGGTTGTACCTTTTCGCACTAGATATATAAGCTTGGTGTGTGTTTTCTTTTATTCTCTCTCGCATTAATTCTAATTTATCTGATCGATTTATTTGATCAATTTGGTGATCAGTCAGGGATTGGAGTTTTTTTGCCAGTTTGTAATCGGTTCCACTAGTGAACATGTTATAACCAAATAATGCGAAAAAAGGATTGGTTCCAGTTGCTGAATGTACTGAGGTTCTCAATGCTTGTTCGATTTCCGCTAAATAAAGATCCCAATCCCGGTGATCGTTTTCAACATACGTTCGTATGGCGGCTAATACTGACTGATTTACTCGCTCTGATGCGTTAGATTGCGGAGAGTAATAGGCTGTGGTGATGTGGGTGATTTTGTAATCTTTTATCATATCCGCGAAAACTTTTGAGGCGAACTGTTTTCCGTTGTCGCTGTGTATGATCTCGGGTACCCCGAATGTATGGAAGACTTGATTTTCCAGAAATTTTACCACGTTATATGCAGTGGCTTCTCTCATCGCGTGTAGGAATGTGAATTTCGTAAAATGATCGACTACTATAAAGATGTAGGAATTGCCTTGTTTTGATCTGGGATACTTTCCCAGAAAATCTATATACAACTTCTGGAAAGGTCTCTCAGTTATAACTTCGTTGCCTATCGTAGGGTTCATACGCTGATTTGCCGATTTCGTTTCTTTACACGTTGTACAATTTTGTATGAATTGTCGTACCTGCGATGACATTTTTGGCCAATAAAAATAAGTTTTTAATCGTTTTAAGGTTTTCGTTATACCATCGTGGACCGAGCTACCGTAAATGTGTGCTTTCTCAATCAGTACATATGTTATGTCCTGAGGTATCCACAGTTTCCACTCAAATTCCATCATTTCTTGCTCAAAATTTTTGGTTCGAACATAGATTTTATCATTGTCGATTTTTAAATCCGGCAAACGATCTTGGTTTTGTTGTATGGTGTTGCGCAACTCGACATATTCTTCACTTTCAAATGCCGTAGTTTCGAAATCCAATATATTATCGTCACACAATTCCTCTACAACGACATCAGACTCAACCGACATTCGAGACAGTGTGTCCGCTACAACATTTTCCGATCCTTTCCGATGTTCAATTGAAAAATCGTACGCCTGAAGTTGAAGTGACCATCTCGCCAGTCTTCCACTTAAATCTTTTAAGGACATCAGCCACTTAAGACTGGCATAATCCGTGATGATTGTGAACTTCATAAGCTCGACGTACGGACGGAACCTTTTTACCGCTAAAACTGCGGCCAAACATTCCTTTTCTGTGACGGAGTAATTCTTCTGGGCGGAATTCAGTTTTTGGGAATAAAAAGCGATAGGGTTCTCTCCGCCAAATTCATTCTTTTGGAAAAGTACTGCTCCTATTCCATATTCCGAGGCGTCGCATTGAATAAAGAACTCTCTATTAAAGTCAGGGTGCCTGAGAACCGGTGCGGATGTGAGAGCATATTTTAGAGATTGGAAAGATTGCATCGCTTCCGGAGTCATTACGAATTTTTTTCCTTTTTTTAAAGTATCTGTTAGGGCGGAAGATATGGATGCAAAATCTTTTATAAATCTCCGGTACCAACCGGCAGTACCGAGAAAACTTCGCACTTCCCTCGGCGATTTTGGTGGCGGTATCCTCTGGATAGCGCTCACCTTTTCTGGATCAGTCTTCAACATCCCGCTACCGATTATGAATCCAAGGTATTTCAACTCTCGAAAACAGAATAACGACTTTTTGAGTCCAATCGTCAGATTCGCTCTTTGCAGGCATTCAGCTACTTCTTCCAAAATTCTGACATGGTTCTCAAAATCATCAGCTATAATCAGGAGATCATCCAGATATATGAAAACATTGGATTTTAGTCGTCCTGGGATGACCTTATCCATCAACCTGCATAATCTTTGCGCCGCATTGCAAAGCCCAAACGGCATGACCCTGAATTGATATAGTGGTCGACCTGGTACTGTAAAGGCGGTATATGGCTTCGCTTCTTCTTCCAACTCAATCTGCCAGAAGGCATACTTCAGGTCGACACTACTGATAAAATGGGTTTGATCAATTCGGCTTAATATTCCATCGATATTCTGTAATGGATATGCATCCTTCACCGTTAGGGCATTTAGTTTCCTCGCATCGAGGCAGAAACGATTCTTGTTCGGTTTTCGCACGACGGTAGTACGATTACTCCATGGCGAATCACTCTCCTCAATAACTTTCAGAGCGAGCATTTTATCTATTTCATTATATACGATTTCCTGTACGGCCGGCGATAAAGGATAATGTCTATCCTTGACAGGATTCGCATTCCCTACTAACTTAATTGCATGTTTCTCTAATTTCGTACAACCCAGTCCATTTTTTTCAAACGTTGGGAACTTATTTATTATTTCTTCTAGGCGTCTACGTTGTTCCCCTGTTAGTTGGTGCATATTCTTATTTTCGTTGGTCGAGGTTCCACGCATCTGCTCTTGTAAGTCCACGGTTATCTCGTCTATGGGAAATATTTCTGGGGCAATATTAAATAATTTCCAGAAATCTGCTCCTAGATAAAGATCTTGTTCTAGATCTGGGCATAGATAGAAACGCATTTTTAAGAATTGTTGTTGATATTCTACCTCTACCTCTATTTTGCCCACTATGCGATGGGTTTTCCCTGACGCCGTACTTACATTCGTGTCCTGTGGATCAACAATAATGTTTAATTCCTCAACTATTTCTCGGCAATGCTTCCCTAGTATTGAAACCGTAGCCCCAGAATCTAATAGACCCTTTATCTCTTTCCCTTCGATTTTAATGCTAGCGTATGGTCTAGGATCCGTTCTATATTTGCACCGGATGACGGCTTCGGATATCAATTTTTTTAATTCTTTATTTTCTTTATGTCGTTGCCTCAATTTCATTATCCTCATTCTACTTTTCATATTTTTATTTACCCCTATGGATATTGATTCGGAATTATTGCGAGATTCATCTTCCTGAAAAATTTCTGCTCTTTTGTTTTTATAATGTCTCTGCCTGAACTCAATTGGAAGATAATGCCGAATTTGGGAATAGTTATTGACGATGGTATCAACTAATTCTACAGTGGGTTCGTCGCAGCGGGTTGTTCGGAAGAACGATGGTTCCCCGCTAGAACCACGTTCTTTCTCACGTTTCCCGCTTTGCAATTTCCACATTTGGGTGTTATGGTATTTTGCCTTCCACACTTAAAGCAAAATAGTCCTCTTTGGGACGACGGACAATCCCTAAATCCATGACCCGCTATTTGGCAATTCCAACAAACAATTTGGTTTAGGGCCGAAACATCTACTAACTCTTCCGGTTCTACCAAATTCGGGTATTCTATTTCTTCTTCTTGCATGGCGTGTACACGTATGGGTCTGTTTATGGTTGGTGGAGGAGCTTGAGATAATGGGTCGCGTCGAAAAAATGTCCTCTCAATTTCCAAACACTCCACTCTTAGCTGCTCTAATGACGACACGGGCATCGAGTACACAATACTCGATAGATTCTTTCTCAAATTTTTCTTAACCAAAGAAATAATCTCGTATTCTGAGACTGGCCTTTCCAGTTTCGATCTCATTAGATTTATTTCATGAAAGAAAGCATCAATGGACTCGGTTGCCCCCTGTTTCCTTTCTAACAGATCCCGCATCGATTCAAATGTTGTTCGCCTTGTCTTGAATCTTTCATTTAACCCATGCTTTAAGGAATCCCAATCGTTAATGTTGTTTGACCTCTGTTGGAGCCAGAACCATTCATAGGCTGGACCAGACACCAAAATATGGAATTCATTTAAAATGTCTTCCCAAGCTAGTTTGTAATGTTGTTGAAAGTATTCCAGCCGGTAGATAAAATCTTCCACCGACAGACTGTTTGGTTTCCCTGAAAAATTTAATCCAAAACGTTCAACTTTTATTCCATGGATGCCAGTACTAATCACGGATGGAATCACAGTGCTTCTGCGATTACCATTATTAACATTATCTCTATGTTGTGTAGGGAACTCATCTGTAGGGTTTCCCGGGGGGTTCGGTAAAGTATTTGGTATTGTTGGCTGATTTTGGACATTTATCGATAACCTGCTGACATTATCGCTCAATCGGTTTATCACCGAGTGAATTTTATCCATTTCTTTGGCAACACTTTCTTCCACCCATGATCTCAAATACCCTCGGGCGTCATTCATACTTTCGCATACCATACTCCTGATTACATTGTTTACATCGCCTTGCTGATTACTTGGAGTAGGCGTTGGAGGTAAATTCGATGGTACCCTAGCACTCTTACTGGTACTCGGTTGAGTGTTGTTAATGGATCCGGACAAATCCCTTATTGTTGTATCCCTAATACCATTGGATTGCTCCATGTTTGAGACTACTTTTTTCTTTTTGTTATTAGGTTTGGGTGATTGTATAGAAATCCTGCTCGTGTCGAAAGCTAGTGTTCTATTGCGTTTACTTCTTCTTTTTCCCGCCGTATAATCACTCATCAGACTTCAACTCGTTTACCCAATTAATTTTATTAAAAAAAAATCAATTGTCTATTAATAGCTGTGGGTTTACTTTTTTGTTGTGCCGAAATTTAGATTGCCACAATTTCAGATAATAAAAGCAGGGGTGTATGACTTAATGATTTAAAAATAACTAATTTAGAAAAGTTCTTTAAAAAACAAAATATATAAATACCAAAAAAATGAACAATAGTAATTAATAAAATAAAATATAATTAAACCTATAAGTGTACTAAACATATAATCAAAACGCACTAATAAGCAGAACAAGTAAAAAAAAAATAAATAATTAAATCAAATAAAAATAAGAAAATAGTAAATAAAACTAAAATAATAATCAAAATAAGTTAAGGACAAAAACCATAAACAAAAACATTCAAACACAAGACAATATCAATAGTTAATAGTGATTTAAACAATGACGATGAGAGTTCGTTTGGTGTTTTTTTTTTTTTTTTTTTTTTCAATTGCTTTTGAGGTTGAGTGTGTGGACTTATTTCATTATGTTATAAGAAATCCTATCACGCATTATAAGTGTCCTTTTACGGTTGTTCTGGTGTACTGCTAGACTGGACTTTACATATTCACTTATTTATTTTGTTTCAAAGACAAACATTTAGAGACGACCACCACGGCAGTTTTCCCATCATAAGAGAATACGGATCTCGTGAAGGAGGTTAAATTTTCTTTCGTACAATACAGTTTGCGAAAACTTCTTCACGAACGCTATTGTACTTTTCCTCTCTTATGTCATCTCGATTTGACGACTTCGAAACAATAAATACAAAAATTACATAAAAACATAAATTTGAGGGTAAAACCACGGCAGTTTTCGAAAGAAAATAACGAAAAAGATCTCGTGAACAAGTACTTCCGTACAATGCACATTGAGATGCTTCACCTCAAGCTTTGCACGTTTCCCTTAGGTTATACCCTACGTCTATTTTTTCTACTTTAAAATAAAACATACAGAAACACAAAAAAAAAACAGGTCATAAAACACAATACATTCATTGTTACATGGAACTAACAAGATTATTGCACCTGACCCTTGTAGTTGGAACGACAATCCTAATTTTCTAAAAACCTCATCTACTATTGCACGTTTATCACAAATTTTAAAGAATTAAAGCTGCGTCTGCAACATGAGATAATCGTTGTAAGAAAATGTGATTTTCGCTTATGCCTATTTGAACCCTATAGTTTATTGCACTGTGCTAAGCTGTTATTGCACTGAATTTAAGACATTATAGCTTTCGCTTGGGCGCCATATTGTTACGTGCCACCTGCTTCGGCACTATGGTGTTGTGGCCGCTAGCTCAGGAGCCATGTTCAGGGGTTGGTTCCATCCCATACACCAATAGCCTTGGGGACGAACAATTAAACAATTAATGGATAAATACAAATTCTACATAACACAAACACTACGTACACCTGGAACAAAGGAGTTTGATATTGCCACTCCCACACTAGCCCGCCCAACCTTGACCCTGAGATCCTACATAACTGTCAATTTTATCAGGGCCCCGTATTCCACACCCACTCCCCTCAGTACAATGTACACCAAATTCACTCTCTCATGAATGAACTAGACAATCATGATTACACAAACAATCATATTACGAACAATTTATTAGTATATAAGATTTCCTTAAAATAGAACAAACAAGCTGAAATTTGAAACATTAACTATCAGGATCTCTTAGTCATTGTTTGAGGAGTTCATATATATCAGACCACCCTTCATTACTTCAGTCCACTAAATGTCACCAAATTTTGGACTTTCTAAGTTATGCAATTAGTACCTGCCTAAACGAGCTCTCTTAGGTGGTGAGGGACCCGCAAACTGGTCCACAATATTCAACGGAACCTCAAAAAAAATCTCGATTATAACACTCAAAGTAATTTGGGGTAACCCTACACTCCAATTTACTTATAAAATTTAGAATAGTTAATGTCCCTCACAAAAACAAGAACATTTATGCTGGACACAAAAAAAAACACAAATAATAAACTTAGACAACACAACTTAACCTAAATATATTATCTTAATTAAAAATTTGAATATTATATTAGTTCTTTCTCTTAATTTATATGAATTTTTCTGCCTTTTGCTTTTTCTTAAAATTTTATTTAATGGAATTTCTCCTTTTTTCTGTTGCAGGGTCTCCCTCCTGGTTCTGGTTTTTATTTTATGCCAGTGGTTGTATCAAACAAGCGGTAAGTTTAATAAATAACTTTGTTACCTGGCTTTTTGCATTCTTTAGTACAACCTGCTTTGTTCTTTTCCAGGATCACTCTTCCGCGACCTCGTCCACCAGGATAAAGCAGAACCCGGATATCATGGATCAAGGGAATTGGTGTTATGGAGGCGGTTGCTGGGGCCTCAATTTTGCGTTGTGGTGGTTGCTGTGGCCGTCAAAGATGGGCTGACCTCTCCGCTTTTGTTCGCCGAGGAGGCCAGTTGATACCCTCGAGAAATTTAAATTATTTTGGCGAAACACTGAAAGACATAAAAGCACACAACACAAAAACACTCATATATCTACACAATTATAATTCATACAAGGATCACTTACAATCAATTACTAACGCCTTCACCATAAATAATAAAATAAATATCGAGGCTTTTATTGCCTTAAAAAAAGTAATTTTTATTTTGAAATTTGGCAGGTTTTAATTTTTTTTTTACTTTTATGACCACTATTTTACTGTCGCACCACTTGAATAATAAGGGCGCGTTTTCCTTTTTCCCCCTTTTATACCTACGGGAATGACGCGGCATTTTTCCGCTTTTCGGCTTTTCCTTAATTTTTCCTGACATTTACCTTCTTTATGATACCGACCTAACGAGCCCTTACAATATCGCAGGTTGTATTTTCGATTAATTTATCTACCAAATAATCGATCCAAATACAACACTGGCAGTGGTGGCAATTCTAATTACCATTGGGACAGAACATTTCCGCTTCATTTTTTAAACACGGGTTGCTGCGGTTTGCACGTCGCGGATGTTAGCTAAAAAAAACATCAATTAAAAATTAAATAGTGCCCACCACGCAACACATTGATCCCATTACCATTGAATTTGCCAGAAAATATTTGCGGAAAACTCGTGTCATGTTGGAGCAGGATGGTCGGGTGACGGCGGCAAAACAAATTGAAGCTTTGAAAAAATTGGAGGAACATTTTAAGATTGTCTCTATGCAGTGTGTTAATGGACCGCAGGCGGCGCCATATGCTGTCATCTGTCATGGCGATTATTGGAACAATAATATGCTGTACAAATATGATGTAAGTGGGGAAGAAGAAGATAAATTCTTTCAAGGAACAAATTTCTGAATTTTTAGGGATACTTCAAAAGAATGAAAGAGGGATCGTGTTTTTTAAAGAATTTTTCTAAAGGACTTTCAAAGGTCTGAACGTGGAGTTTTTTTAAGAATTTTATGAAAAACACTTTTAAAGTTCTTAACGTGAATTTTCGTTTTGCAAAGGACCTTCAAAGAGCTAAACGTGGTTTTATAAGGCCCTTTTTAAGATCAACGATCTAAAAGTGTAATTTTTAAGAATCACGAATACTTGAGGGGAAATAATTTGGAAAGTTGGCAACACTAATTCGTACCTTGTGCACTCTATTTGTTGTGCAGATTAATCCAAATTTGAAGTGCTTCAAAGATCTAGAGGATTTTTAAAAAAAATTGTCAAGGACCTTCTAAGATCTAAACGTGGATTTTTTAAAGAATTTTTCTAAAGGACCTTTAACCATCTAAACGTGGATTTTTTAAAGAATTTTTGTCAAGGACCTTTAACCATCTAAACGTGGATTTTTTAAAGAATTTTTCTAAAGGACCTTTAACCATCTAAACGTGGATTTTTTAAAGAATTTTCCAAAGGACCTTTAACCATCTAAACGTGGATTTTTTAAAGAATTTTTGTCAAGGACCTTTAACCATCTAAACGTGGATTTTTTAAAGAATTTTTCTAAAGGACCTTTAACCATCTAAACATGGATTTTTTAAAGAATTTTTCTAAAGGACCTCCTTAGATCTAAACGGGGATTTTTTAAAGAATTTTTCTAAAGGACCTTTAACGATCTAAACGTGGATTTTTTAAAGAATATTTTTGAAGGACCTTTTAAGATCTAAACGTGGATTTTTTAAAGAATTTTTCTAAAGGACCTTTAACCATCTAAACGTGGATTTTTTAAAGAATTTTTCTAAAGGACCTTTAACCATCTAAACGTGGATTTTTTAAAGAATTTTTCTAAAGGACCTTTAACCATCTAAACGTGGATTTTTTAAAGAATTTTTCTAAAGGACCTTCTAAGATCTAAAAGTGTTTTTTTAAAGAATTTTGTCAAGGACCTTCTAAGATCTAAAGGTGGATATTTTTATAGAACTTTTGTCAAGGACCTTTTTAGATCTAAACGTGGATTTTTTAAAGAATTTTTCTAAAGGACCTTTAACCATCTAAACGTGGATTTTTTAAAGAATTTTTCTAAAGGACTTTCTAAGATATAAACGTGGATTTTTTAAAGAATTTTTCTAAAGGATCTTTAACCATCTAAATGTGGATTTTTTAAAGAATTTTTCTAAAGAATACTTAACGAGCTAAACGTGGATTTTTGAAAGAATTTTTGTCAAGGACCTTTAACCATCTAAACGTGGATTTTTTAAAGAATTTTTCTAAAGGACCTTTAACCATCTAAACGTGGATTTTTTAAAGAATTTTTGTCAAGGATCTTTTTAGATCTAAACGTGGATTTTTAAAGATTTTTTCTAAAGGACCTTTAACGAGCTAAACGTGGATTTTTCAAAGAATTTTTGTAAAGGACCTTTAACGACCTAAACGTGGATTTTTAAAGAATTTTTCTAAAGAACCCTTAACGAGCTAAACGTGGATTTTTAAAAGAATTTTTCTAAAGAACCCTTAACGAGCTAAACGTGGATTTTTTAAAGAATTCTTCTAAAGAACACTTAACGAGCTAAACGTGGATTTTTTAAAGAATTTTTCTAAAGAACTCTTAACGAGCTAAAGGTGGATTTTTTAAAGATTTTTTCTAAAGGACCTTCCTAGATCTAAACGTGTATTTTTTAAAGAATTTTTCTAAAGGACCTTTTAAGATCTAAACGTGGTTTATTTGAAGAATTTTTGTCAAGGACCTGCAAAGATCTAAACGTGGGTTTTTTAAATAATTTTTCTAAAGGACCTTCTAAGATCTAAACGTGAATTTTTTAAAGAATTTTTCTAAAGGACCTTTAACGATCTAAACGTGGATTTTTTAAAGAATATTTTTGAAGGACCTTTTAAGATCTAAACGTGGATTTTTTAAAGAATTTTTCTAAAGCACCCTTAACGAGCTAAACGTGGATTTTAAAAGAATTTTTCTAAAGAACCCTTAACAAGCTAAACGTGGATTTTTTAAAGAATTTTTATGAAGAACCCTTAACGAGCTAAAAGTGGATTTTTTAAAGAATTTTTATAAAGAACCCTTAACGAGCTAAACGTGGATTTTTTAAAGAATTTTTCTAAAGAACCCTTAACGAGCTAAACGTGGATTTTTTAAAGAATTTTTCTAAAGAACCCTTAACGAGCTAAACGTGGATTTTTTAAAGAATTTTTCTAAAGAACCCTTAACGAGCTAAACGTGGATTTTTTAAAGAATTTTTCTAAAGAACCCTTAACGAGCTAAACGTGGATTTTTTAAAGAATTTTTCTAAAGAACCCTTAACGAGCTAAACGTGGATTTTTTAAAGAATTTTTCTAAAGAACCCTTAACGAGCTAAACGTGGATTTTTAAAGAATTTTTCTAAAGAACCCTTAACGAGCTAAACGTGGATTTTTTAAAGAATTTTTCTAAAGAACCCTTAACGAGCTAAACGTGGATTTTTTAAAGAATTTTTCTAAAGAACCCTTAACGAGCTAAACGTGGATTTTTTAAAGAATTTTTCTAAAGAACCCTTAACGAGCTAAACGTGGATTTTTTAAAGAATTTTTCTAAAGAACCCTTAACGAGCTAAACGTGGATTTTTTAAAGAATTTTTCTAAAGGACCTTCTGAGATCTAAACGTGGATTTTTTAAAGAATTTTTCTAAAGAACCCTTAACGAGCTAAACGTGGATTTTTTAAAGAATTTTTCTAAAGAACCCTTAACGAGCTAAACGTGGATTTTTTAAAGAATTTTTCTAAAGGACCTTCTGAGATCTAAACGTGGATTTTTTAAAGAATTTTTCTAAAGGACCTTCTGAGATCTAAACGTGGATTTTTTAAAGAATTTTTCTAAAGGACCTTCTTAGATCTAAACGTGGATTTTTAAAGAATTTTTCTAAAGGACCTTCTGAGATCTAAACGTGGATTTTTTAAAGAATTTTTCTAAAGGACCTTCTGAGATCTAAACGTGGATTTTTAAAGAATTTTTCTAAAGGACCTTCTTAGATCTAAACGTGGATTTTTAAAGAATTTTTCTAAAGGACCTTCTTAGATCTAAACGGGGATTTTTTAAAGAATTTTTCTAACCTTTAACCATCTAAACGTGGATTTTTTAAAGAATTTTTGTCAAGGACCTTTAACCATCTAAACGTGGATTTTTTAAAGAATTTTTGTCAAGGACCTTTAACCATCTAAACGTGGATTTTTTAAAGAATTTTTGTCAAGGACCTTTAACCATCTAAACGTGGATTTTTTAAAGAATTTTTGTCAAGGACCTTTAACCATCTAAACGTGGATTTTTTAAAGAATTTTTGTCAGCGACCTTCAGGGACTAAAACAAGGATTTTTTAGAGGATTTTCTCCATTTTTCTTTTCTTGTATTTTTCATTTGTTTTGTTTTCTTCTTCCCTACCCCTCTAAGGACCACACCCAGGAAGCCGTGTCCGCCAAACTAATCGATTTCCAGCTATCCCGCTATTCCTCCCCCGTGGTGGACCTGATGCACTATCTTTGCACCAGTACCGATCGTGATTTGCGCAAACAACATTTCAAAGAGCTGCTCGACATCTACTATCAAACCTTACGGGAACACCTGGAATACTATCAACTGGACGTGGGGGTCGTATATCCCAGAGAGATTTTCCTACAACATCTCAAGGAAATTGGTATATTTGGTCTTTGTATGGCGGCATTTTCGATACCTTTCTTCATTTCGAATTCCAATGAATTGCCCGACATGGATGAGGTGGCCACAGCCATAAGAGATATTTCATCATCGTCGGAGAATTCCGATGAGGATGAAGTTGGTGGTGGCGATCAGGAAATGAATGACATTGATAAGACGACGGCCAAAGCCGCTGATGCCAAACGCAAGGAGCTTTTGGATGAGTATGATCTCTTGACGGAACGTACCCTGCCCATATTTAAGAGACGGATGTTTGGTCTACTCAAGGATTTGGAAGAATATGGAATGTTGGAATGTGTATTGAAATTGTAGATAAAAAAATGGATGCTTACCCCCACCCTGAACCCCACTTTCCCCTTTTGAACAGAACACTACAACAGTATTAGATATTTATTGTTTCATTTTTATTTTCTTTCTCTCTTTTGTTTGCTTGCTTGTTTCTTTGTTTATTATTTTTTTTAATTTTTCTTGTTGTTGTATTACTAAAGTATATTGTTGTTGTTGTATTTTATATACTATATTCATTTCATTTCTATAAATTAATTACAAAAACACAAAATTCTTTATATTATTAATAATAAAAAAATTATATATTATTACTCACTTCTTATTATGCATCTTTAATTAAAAAAATATTTTTGTATATATGTAATTATGTATATGTGTATATATGTAATAATAGCACACCAAAGTTACAAAAAACAAACAACAAAAACTATTTATGGAAATGAATAGAAAGAAATGGAAAAAAATATTTTATTTAAAAATTTTTCAAAATGGCAGGAATCGAAGTTGGCAACACCAAGAGCTTTTTCGTACCTTGTGTACCCTATCTGTTGTGCACATAGGTATAAACGTGGATTTTTTAAAGAATTTTTAAAAACGACCTCAAAGGTCTTAACTTAGATTTAAAAAAAAATCGTCAAGAATATTCAAAGGTCAAAACGTTGATTTTTTAAAGAATTTTTGTAAAGGACCTTCAAAGGTCTAAACGTGGATTTATAAAGAATGTTTGTCGTCAAGAATATCCAAAGGTCTAAACGTGGGTTTTTTAAAGAATGTTTGTCGTCAAGAATATCCAAAGGTCTAAACGTGGGTTTTTTAAAGAATTTTTGTAAAGTACCTTCAAAAATCTTAACATGGATTTTTAGAAGAATTTTCGTTAAGAATATTTAAAGGTCAAAACGTTGATTTTGAATGAATTTTTGTAAAGGACCTTCAGAGGTCTAAACGTGGATTTTTAAATAATTTTTCTAAAGGACCTTTAACGAGCTAAACGTGGATTTTTCAAAGATTTTTTTAAAGGACCCTTAACGAGCTAAACGTAAATTTTTCAAAAAATTTTACTAAGGACCCCTAACGAGCAAAACGTGGATTTTTGAAATATCTTTTCTAAAGGACCCTTAACGAGCTAAACGTGGATTTTATTTAAGGTCATTCCAAGATCGAATTGAATTGTTTAAATATGTGTAATTGTGGATTTGTTTAAGAATCATAAACAATTGAGGAGAAATAATTTGGAAAGTTGGCAACACTACTGGCTTTTTCGTATCTTGTGTAATCTTTTTGTTGTGCAGAGTAGTACAAATTTGAAGTGCTTCAAAGATCTAACGGTGGATTTTTTTTAAAGAAATTTGGTCAAGGACCTTGTAAGATCAAAACGTGGATTTTTTAAAGAATTTTTCTAAAGGACTTTCAAAGTTTAAAACGTGGATTTTTTAAAAGAAAATTTTTAAAGGACCTTCAAAGAACTAAGTGAGGATTTTTTAAAGAATTTTTGTAAATGTCCTTTAATGGTTTAAACGTGGATTTTTTAAAGAATTTTTTAAATGTCCTTTAATGGCTTAAACGTGAATTTTTTAAAGAATTTCTGTAAATGTCCTTTAATGGTTTAAACGTGGATTTTTTAAAAACTTTTTCTAAAGGACCTTCAAGATCTAAACGTGGATTTTTTATAGAACTTTTTAAGTGACCCTCAACATTTTTTAAGTTGTCTAAAGACCTTCAAACGCGGATTTTTAAATAATTTTTTGAGGTTATGTAGAGGCCTTTCAACATAGTTTTTTTTTTTTGATTTTTGAGGTTATGAAGAGGTCGTTAAACGTGGATTTTTTTAAATTTAAGAGGTCATCTCATTTTTGAAGTGATCTAGAAGCCTTTAAACGCTGATTTTTTAAATAAATGTTTCAGGTTATCTAAAGGCCTACAAACGTGTCTTTTTAAATAACTTTTTGAGGTCATTCTAGAGGCCTTTAAATGTGAATCTTTTAAAAACCTTTTAAGGTTATCTATAGGTCATTTAACGTGGATTTTTTATATAATTTTTGAGGTAATCCAGAGGCCTTTTAACATTATATAGTGGCCTTTAAATGTGACTTTTTTTACTATTTTTTGAGGTCATCTAGAGGTCTTTAAACGTGGATATTTTGATATTTTTTGAGGTCATTTTTAAACGCGATTTTAAAACATTTTTTAAGTTATCCTTCAATTCATCAAAAAAAAAAAAAAAAATAGAAAAAAAAAAATGTTGACCATACATATTACATACTTGGTAAAATTCTACACATGGAGTTCTTTTCGGGTACTTTACCCCCCGATATCTTATGGTCCTCATATCGTATCGTACCTCCCGATTTTCGGTAACAACACTTTTCAATGGAACTGTCTTGAAGTTTTTTTTTCGAAAAAAAAAGAAAAAAACTGTTATTGTAATTTAGAAGATTCCTGCCAAAGAAAAGAGGGAAAATTTTTTTTTTATATTTAAAAAAAAAAATTGATTCAAATGTGTCCGTGGTTTGATGAAGAAAAAGTTGGGCTTAACTCGAGTTTAGTAAAAACTCCCCAATTTTTTGGTACTTTCATAAGCTTTCAAACGTCACCTATATTGTCTATATCGGGTAAGTGGTTTTGGGTGTAGCGCGGGCCTTGAACCCGGACTTTCGGGTCAAAAATATGGGGTCTCGGATTTGGTCCCCTAGAAAAATAGTTCGTCGAGTCAGGGTAAAAACACCTAACTCTGGATAAAATGTCAAAAAATCGAAGAGTTTTTACTAAATTTGAGTCGTTCCAATAGTTGCTGCTGTAGAGTTAGTTAGTCGAAAAGGAAAAAAAACTTAAATATATATATTTTTTTCATGTTTATTTATAAAATGTGTTATGAATTGTGAATTTTTGTTTTGTTTTTTTCTTGTTTGTATTTATTATGATGTTCTTGTTCTTATTGTTGTTGCAGTTGATGATTTTTTTTATACAAAATATATGTTTTTTTTTTTTTTCAATTTTTTTCATTATCTCTCTGTGTGGATGCAGGGGGGGGGGGGTGGTAAATTCTTATGACATTCTATTTATATATAGACAAAAAGAAAAACTTAACTTTATACAACTAAATAATAATAATAAAAAAAAATTATTATAATATATTTTTGATGTTGGATGTTATATTTTTTCATTTAAAAAAAAAATATTTATTTATATAATAATTAAAAAAAAAATAAAACAAAATCATAGAATTGCCATAAAAAAAAAACAAATAAAAATTGTTCTTTTTCTGTTCTCAAACATTATTTTCAAAATTTCTTTTCCATGAATGATTATGCTCTCAGGGGTGTATGTTATGTTTTTTTTCTTTTGATTTTTTTTATAAACTAATTAAAAATGTAGTATTATTTAATTTTAAGATATTACTAAATCATGTTACAAAAAAGTGTGGGTATTATTCCTTTGTTTTTCTTTCTAAATAATAATAAAATGGGTTTCATTTTTATTTATTTAATAATAATAATAACGTGTGATAGATAAAACAAAAATTTTAAATTTTTGTATGCTAAAATTATGATTTATTGGTTTTTAGTAAATTAAGTGTGGGTTTCTAATTGTTATTATTTATTATTAATAATAATAGTATTATTATTATTTTGTATTAATATTATAATTAGTATTATTATTATATATGTATACTTTATTATTATTATTATTTTTTAACATATATTCATATATATATTTTATGTATATATTTATATATATATATATTCTTTTATTATATATATATTTATAAGCAAAACTAATTTGCTTTTAGATTAGTTTAATAGTTATCCTTTTTTTTTGTTTCAATTTCTTTCTTATATTTTTTTTTTAATAAAACTTATCAATGAATAGTTTTTTTTGTTTGTTTTTCAATTTTGTTTTTTAAATCTGTATTGCAAATAGAAGGAATATGTAGCATAATCCACACACGACCATTGTGAGTATGTTTGTATGTGTCTATCTTAGCCAAAAAAAAAGAGAAGTCTCTTTAGTTTTAGTTGCTGCTGGATTTGATTGATTCACTGCGAGACTTCTCTAAAGCGTTTTTGTCTTTCGAGGCTTTCGACTTCGGCCCACGAATTTCTCATGTTACGGAAGAGCTAAAAGAAGAGAGAGATGGTGGGAAAAAATAGAAAATTAGTAATTATTTAAAAAATTAATATTACCAATTTATATAAATTTCAAAACTACTACCCGTTACAACTAATTTAGAATACACAAAAACCAATCAAAAATATATTAGAAATCCTATTTGAAATTTTTGAAGTTATTTTGTGTACTAAATTTAAAAATTTAATGAAGTTAAGTTAATAAAAAGCCACAGAAAATAAAAGTTACAAGAAAAAAAAAATAAAAATAATAATAATAAATGTTAATAATCCGAAGCAGTTGGCCCCTTTTTGACTAATTCGTATCTGACCTAAGACTGATATAAATATTACAACGTGCCAGATTTGGGCTATATCGACTACTTCCTTACTTTATATGAGATATGTAATAATTTTTAGAAAATGTTGAAATATGCGTGTGGTTACAGATATAGTCGACCTAAATATTCTATTTGCATACTCCATGTAATAGAGATAAAAATATTATTGAATTTTATGCGAAATCATAAATTCCGATAAATTGCATATTCATATCAGATTTCTGGTTAAGACAAATATTTAGATATAGCAAGTTGTAAGGAATCGCCGACTTGTTTCGCACATTATGACAGATATAAGCATTGGAAATTGTGACCCTTTGTGGGTGAGGTACCAGAAGGAGTTGGCAGATGTACAGGGTGAGATAAAAAAACTGCAACAAAGTCAAACGCCATAATTTTTACCTTTTTTTAATTTTACCGAGTGAAAGCAAACAATTTCGGAAATGGCATTAAATTTTAGAATAAGTGATTGACACAATAGTCCAATGTATCCGGTATCTGGAGATTTTGGTGACCATTGTGCGCTGGAAAGGAAGCGGGGAACCTCATTTTGTAACCATTCTTGTGCTGAGTCCTATTGGAGTGTCCAAGATCTGCGGCCAAAAACTTTGCGTGCCCAAGGCTTTAATACATCCTCCAGAATATTTTCGCAATAATATTCGGCATTTATTCTGAGCGACTATCGGCTGTTATGGCGGCCCATCATAACAATTATAAAGAATCGTAATTTATAGAGAATCGGCAACTTGTTTCGCAAGTTATGACAGATAAAAGTATTGAAAACTGTGACCCTTTGTGGGTGAGGTACTAGGAGGTGTTGGCAGATATATATCATCTTCACAACAAATTTTGCGTTAGCAAAAATATTTGGATGTGTGAAATTCGAAGAGAGTTGGATATTTTTATTACGCCTTATTTAAGCGTTTTGTTTTCCAAAAATCTTGAACCCTATGTGGGGGAAGGACCAGAAGAAATGTTCTGATCTCTATCATCTTTATAACAGATCTTGTGTTGATGGAAATATTGATATGTGCCAAGTCTGAATGGAATCGAATGTTAATTTCGCGTTTTATGAGCTTCGTGGATATTCAAAATGTTGACCCTTTTGTGGGGGAGGTATCAGAAGGAGTAGACCGATATAATCGATCTTCACACCAGATCTAGGGTTTATAAAAATACTGGAATGTTTTAAATTTGAAGATAATCGGACACTTACATCACATGTTATAAGAGCTTTAATTATTCAAAATTTGTACCCTTTGTGGGGGAAGTACTTGATGTGTACTTGAGTGGACCGATATTGTCCATTTTCGCACCTGACCTAGCACTGATGCAAATATTGGGATTCGCAAAGTTGGAGCAAAATTGGATTATCCTTTCTCTATCAGTGCAATAAATTATTTCTTTGAAAATATTGACATTTTGTGTGGGTGGTACCAGAAGGAGTGGATCGATATTGCCCATCTCGGACAATAATATTACGATGTACCAAGTTTGAATCAAATCGGATACTCCCTTCGAGAGTTACCGTGCGCACCAGCCAGACAGACGGACAGACATCGCCAGATCGACTCAAAATGTCCTTTAACGGATTTGGTCCAAAGAGACCTAGGGTCTAAAGCCGTTATTTCGATGAGGCACATTTTGGCCGTATCAAATGGTATATATCCTCTCTAGTCATATGTCTGAGGGTATAATTATTTGAAATACAACTGAAAAAGGCGTAGAGAAAAAGACAGGTCGAACTATATAAGAGACAGTCTCTTGATCATGAATACTGATGCAGTCGCCGATGTTGTAAACCATTACAGTATCCTAGTTCACTTCCCATCCATTGCAGCTGAATTATTTCCAGATAGTGCAGGCGCTCTAAAAGATCACAATTTATGACCAATGGACATGGATTTTCGCATGAGGTTAGAGTTTAGGACAGGCAGAAGGCCTAACAATTTGGATAAAATCGACCAAATTTTTTTTTTTGTTTTAATTTTTTGAGGGTGTAAATATAGGACAAATGCCACGAACAAAAACAACATTTTCTCAGAACTGTATGGCCTTATTTCAAAAAAGAAAAAAATAGGTTTGGACTTAAGAAGAATTGCCAATATATTATAGTGTTTTAGGGTATCACATGATTAAGAAATAACTTTGACACCCATTTCGGGGAAGAGCTCGAATATTTGAATTGAATATAAAACTCATTTCTGGACCATCTACCAACTAATATTTCGACAAAAGCAAGTGAAGAGCTCACTGATTTATCGGAAGATACAACACTGAAAACCACCAATCGCAAACAATTAACGAAAATCTGGCAAGGATACTGTTTGATGATTAAGTTTCTCCTCCCCTTTACTGTTTTATCTCATATAGGTATAAAACAGTATAGGGGAAGATAACACCACGGATTTTTGACTATGTTCAATGATATTACTAATTACTAATAGCTGTAATACTGTAATATTTTCACTTACAGAAGGTCTTGCAGGCCATTATACCATAGGAAACAAGAGAAGGCCTTTCATAAAGCCCTTCAAAATAAAATATCTAAACAAATCAATGTCTATTGCTCCGAAAGAATTTGAATAAATTTCATCTACAAGAGATCTCATCTTCAAACTATGAAAACTCAATGTAGGACTTTTATCTATAAAGTCGCCTTAAATGAAAATCAACGGCTACACCCTCAAAAGACTTGGAACAAATTCCATCTGCAGGAGACCTTGCAAGGCTTTCATTTATAGAGTCTATTTTTGAATCAAATCAAAATCTCCTTAAACCAAATCAACGTCTAAAGCTTCAAAATAATTTTCTATGAACTATGAAAACTTAATTTAGGGCTTTCATCAATAGGCTCCTTAAATCACGATCATCATAACTGTAAGAGATCAAAAAAAAAAATCCATTTAAAGAAGCCTTATGTTGTCTTTGTCTAGTAGTAGAAAATCTTGTATCTACAGAAGATATTTAAGCTATAAAGGACATTTAAAAAGGTTTTTTGCTACTTTATATATTCTCCAATGCAATTATGTTGCAAAAATAATATATCCTTACAATTAACCTGTGGTAGCTAAATCCTAAAAAAAAAATTACTTTCATTCCTATACTCCTCCTATAACCTAAAATTATTATATTCCTTCTTTCCAACTAATAAATGTTTCCTGGTTCCATTTTCATAACAACAATAAAATATATACAAATACTTATAAATACGTATTGCTTGGCATTACCTCATCTATCCAATTGTGTTCAGCGAGAAGATCATTTAAGATTTCCGTTGATGATTTGTTGGGATTTTCTGCCTGCAGCTCGGATACGCGACGAGAACAGTTCACATACAGATTATATTTCTCGTGGGCAATCTTGTGGAAGATATCTGCACGGGCGGCACAAATGCGACACAGAAGAATGTCCTGGAAACGAAAAAAAAAAAAAAAAAGAAAGAGATTTATTTAATATTTTTTAGAAGTTTGTATTTTAGCTCAGATCTCTACCTTTTCATAAGTCATACGGGCATCTGTGGGTATTGTTTGCATTGTATTCGAATTGTAGGGTTGACCAAACAGCAGAAAACGCACCGAAATCCCTGGCTGATGACAGCCTGCACAATTTTTCTGTGTCAAATTATTTTGACCCCATTCCGAGAAGACATGACACTTGGGCCAGGTTTCAATGGAGGTAATAACACTGCGCGTCCATGGTGTTATGGATAATAGTTTACGTTTACAATTATCCAATATTGTATCCAAGGCTCGGACACTGCCCAAAAAGTATTCATCTATGCAAAAGGGAGAAAATATTTAATTAAATTTCCTTTTTTTGGGGGGGAATTTCAAATCCCTTACCCTTTTCCCTGGTAATTTCCGAAAAGAAACTTGGATCCAATACTTGTGATATCATTGTCTGTATATAGATCTCAAAGTGATCTCGATACGACAGATAATCCTCCATGATTTTCTCAATAAATTGTTCCGTATCATCGGCTATTAGTTCGGAGCGTAGGAATTCCACAATTGTTTCTGTGTGAGATTGGACTTGAATGCGTACGGGAGCTTTTAAATACAATTTCTTGGTATCCAGATTCCAGGAGGCATACTAAAAAAAGAGTGGGGGAGAGAGAGAGGCATTAAAAGAGATTCCTTTTTTGGAAATTCAAGTTTTTTTCGTTTACCTTGGACATATTGCGATAAAATGTTTTACCATTTTGATAGAAGGCTTCATATTTTTGTAAAATACACTTGGAGTCCACCTGCCATATGGTGGGCCAGTCATTGACCAAATCTGTACGTAAAACTATAAAATCACCGGTCTGCCAAAAAAAAGACCCAAAAATTAAATTTTCATTTTTTTTAAATTTGTTTATTTTTTTTTTTACTTTAAAATTATCCGATCCGGCGCCAGCGCCAGATGAATTTGTATAATTTGCCGAGGTATTGGCCATATCATGGTTAAGGGTATAGCCATCATTGGAGACAACTGGATTTTGAGGTGGTTGCTGTTGCTGCTGTTGGACCGGTGATTGTTGCTGTAATTGTTGTTGAGGTTGCTGCTGCTGTTGCTGTTGTTGCTGCACAACCTGCTGCATCTGCTGCTGATTGAAATGTTTACGCGGCGAACTTTTGGTGCGTCTGGCCATTTTTCTCTTAAATCCCTTGCCATCTTCACTCTTCATTTAGTTTTTTTTTTAATATTTTTGGAAAAACAAAAACAAAAAATGAAATTAAAAATTATTTTTTGATTGAGTTTTATTTTTCTTTTTTTAAAAAAAAAGAAACAAATTGAGATGAAATTCAAGGAATTACATCTTCTTCCTGTGGCGTCCACACGGGATCGGTATCCGAATCGGCAAATTCATCCGGCTCAGCCATGACATCATCTGTGGGTCCAGTTGCTGCAGCGGTGGTACCTAATATGGCTATACTGTTGGTCTTAGCCTTGCGCAAACATTGTTCACGTCTTGGTGGGAGGTTCAAGGGATCTAAATAGAGGAGGATTTAATCAACGTTTTTTTTTTTTAATTTTCAAAATCAATTTCAATTTTCAAATAAATTTCTGGCAAAAATTGCAACTCTACCACAAAATACCAACATATTTCTCACCATAATATTGTTGTTTTTGTAATAAATTTTTTTTTCATGTAAAAAATTAAAAACAAATTTAGATAAGATTATTTTGGTTGATAAAAATATTGAAATTTATATAAAAAATTGTTATTATATTGAAAATGGAACCAGTTTTAAGTTTGTAAATAATTTTGGATTGTATCTCCGCCTGGGAGTAAACTTTATCCATTAAATTCTGTAATAGAAAGGGGAGATGACCGACCCGTCCCCTCTCTCTTAAAACTTAAACCTTTTTGTCTGCATCTGAGACCTGAATAAAAAACAGAAGCCTTGAAACAAAAAAGTTCCTAGTTTGGACCATAAGGACTTGTGTATAGGTCAGAAATACATATATATTGGTTCGGAGGTACCAGAAAAAATATTCCGACGTCTACCACCTTCTTTAAAGATCTTGGAAATATTCATATGTACCAAGTCTGGAGTGGAATCGGTTGTTAATTTCTCATTTTATGAGCTTCATGGATATTCAAAATTTTGAGTCTTTGTGGGGATGGTACCAGAAGGAGTGCACCGACATATTCCATCTTCACAGCAGATCTTGTATTAGTAGAAATACTGGGATGTGTGAAATATGTAGAGTATCGGATGCTAATTTCGGATTTTATGATTGTTTTGGTTATTCAAAACTTTGACCCTTTGTTGGGGAGGTACAAGAAGGAATGGTCCAATATCTACCATCTTTGTACCAGATCTTGTGTTGTTGGAAATATTGTGATGTGGCAAGTCTGAATGGAATCGGATGTTATTTTCGCGTTTTATGAGCTTTATGGATACTCAAAATTTTGACCTTTTGTGGGGGAGGTACCCGTAGGAGCGGACCGATATATCCCATCTTCACACCAAGACCTTATGTTAATAAAATTATTATGATGTGTGTAATCGGAGGAGAACCGGATGCTCATTTCGGATTTTATAATCGTTTTGGTAATTCAAAAATTTGACCCTTTATGGGGGAGGTACAACAGGTCTTGAATTGCTGAAATTATTGGGATGTACCAAGTCTGAATGGAATCGGGCGTTAATTTCGCGTTTTATGAGCTTCATGGATATTCAAAATGTTGACCCTTTTGTGGGGGATGTACTTGATGGAGTCGGCCGATATTGTCCATTTTCTCACCCGACCTGGCACTGATGCAAATATTAGGATTTGCAAAGTTAGAGCAAAATCGGATTATCCTTTCTCTTTCTGTGCAATAAATTATTCTCTTTGTCCTGAAACGTATTTGGTCCAAAGAGACCTAGGGTCTGATACCTTTATTTCGATGAGGAACGTTTTGGCCGTATCAAATGGTATATACCCTCTCTAGTCATAAGGTTGAGGGTATAAATAGGATACTTATTTCGCATTTTGTGAGCGCATTGGCCCTTCGTGGGGCAGGCACTAGAAAGAGTGAGACGGAAATTCTTGCAATCAAGAAGACAGAAGAAGGAGACGATAAAAGAACTATGAAATAGCATAGCCGGACCAGAGGCTGTATATGTTGATAGTTAGACGATCCTTACAGCTATCGAGTGAAGTGCCTTTAAATCGAGAACCACTCTTAACTTCAAGAAAGCCCTCATTGAAATGCGTGATTTCATTAAGCTTTGGTGGGCCACATATTGGGGAATGAGGTGGCTAATTAATCAGCTCGTGGCCGATAGCTACACTAATCCATCTGGCCGGTAATCTCGTGAAGATGAACAAGCTCTCTTCTATCTATCACTTTGAAGGTCTGATTTAAGAATTGCGGTAGGCATACTGACTGGCCACGGCAGTTTCAGATATCTGACCTCGAGATGGGATAACAGTGATGGCCAAAGGCATTCCCTGGCTGGGCACACCACCTTACTAACTATACTTTTCTCTATAAATATTTTCTTCCTCTTCTCGCTTCTATATCTCTCCTTTATTTCTTTGCCAGGGTGAACACATTGGAATGAAACAGTGGCCGAATTCGTGTTGCTGCGCATCCTTAAACCAATCTAAGCCTATTATTTTGATAGGACTCATTTTTGCTGTTTTAAAAAAACGTATACCCTTCTGAAGAGGGGTAAAAGAAAGATTAAAGTTTTTATAGAAAAAAAAAAAAAAATAAAATATGCACGGAATTGTTATTCATGATTGGGCTGTATAATGCCGACATAGTAGTGATGACTATAAAAGATTCAAAATTAAAAAAGTATTTAATAGGACTGCTGCATTATTTCCAAGAACACGGTTGAAGGAGGACGCAAAAAAGTAATATTTCTTCTATATAGTCACATCTAATGTCTAAGACATTAATAATTTCCCTCTATTTCTATATTCATATTTTCAGGAAGATGTCTTTAATATATTTTTTTTAACTTCCTGAAATAAAATCTAAATATTTTATAAGATTTTTATAAAAAAAAAAATCCTAGAACAAATAATTTTATAATTTTTTTCTTCAAGTTCGAAAAATTGGATCGCTTGCAGCTATCATATGATAATAGTATTTACATAATATTATTAAATATATAAATTTGCAAACAGTAAAAGCTCTTAAAAAAATATTATAAATAATTACATATTAAAAAAAAATTTTATAAAAAAAAATTTATAAAAAATTAAAAAAAAATAAAATATTTATGTTATGCAGTTGAACTAATTAATTTCAATTTCTACGTTTTTGATAAAAATTTTCAAAAAAAAAAAAAAATATATACATAATTTTTTTTTTAAAATATCACATTCAACTGCATTATTTTTTTGATTTAGTAAAAAAATATATAAAATCGGAAATATATTCCAAGAACAACAACAATAAAATTCCTCATTCCGCACGCCCCACGCATAGCCATACCACCAATCTCTCATATCCAAAAAGAGGCGGTTGCCAGGTTTTTATTCTGCCGCTGCTGCTCTCCATATCCTTTCCATTCCACCACCAGTTGTTAATTAAAAAACTTTTGATTTACATAGAAGAGTTTTTCTTTTATTTTTTTTTTAGTATTTGCTTTGATTGCTTTCATTCAATTTTTTTTTGTCATCTTATTTAAATATAAGATTTTTTTTATACTCGTATTTATTTCTTGACTATATAAATTATTGTGTTTTTTTATTAATTTTTTAGTAAAAAAAAGGAATACTTGTGTCTTGTTTTTTGCAAATAATGATTTTTTTGATTTAACAATAAAACAAAAATAATTCATAATGCATTTTTTTACAGTGAAGACGAAGAAATGAATTAAAAATTATAAAGAAACCATATTGGGGAACTAATTTTTACAAATAGAAATCCTAATTGAATGTGGGTGGGTGGAGGAGATTTTATGGAAATTTAAAATTAAAAAAAAAAACAATTACGTATCTCTGGTAAAATAGTTTAAGGAAGAGTGCTACCCCAGTGGTAAGAAATCATTTCATTGCTTCCCGAGCTCCTAGATTGGTTACTGTACTGATCCAGAGGATGTAGGCCAGATGTGCGATCTGTATTATATTTAAAAAAGATTTTGTGTTGATGGATATAGTGAGACATACAAAGTCTGAATTTAATCGAATGGTATTTGCGCGTTTTATGTACCTCATTGATGCTCAAAATTTTGACCCTTTGTGGGAGATGTACCAGAAGGAGGGGACCGATATATCCCATTTCCACACCAGACCTTGGGTTATTAAAAATATTGTGATGTGTGTAATTTGAAGAGAACCAGATGCTTATTACCAAGTCTGAATGGAATCGAATGTTAATTTCGCGTTTTATGAGCTTCATGGATATTCAACATTTTGACCCTTTATGGGGAAGGTACTGGAAGGAGTGGACCGACATATTCCATCTTCACACCAGACCTTGGGTTTATATGAATATTGTGATAAGTGTAATTTGAAGACAATCGGACATTTACATCACATTTTATAAAAGGGTATAATTATTAAAAATTTTGACCCTTGGGCGAGGTACTTGATAAAGTAGACTATTATTGAGCATTTTCGCACCTGACATAGATGACACTGATGCAAATATTAGAATTCGCAAAGTTGGAGCAAAATCGAATTATCCTTTCTCTTTCTCTGCAATAAAATATATTTTTTTTTTTTTGAAAATGTCGACCTTTTGTGGGGATGTGCCAGAAGGAGTGGACCGATATTGCCCATCTCCGAACTCTATCTATGTATGACAATAATGTTACGCTGTACCAAGTTTGAATCAAAGCGGATACTCCTTTCGAGAGTTATCGCGACAGCCAGACAGACGAACGGACATCGCTAGATCGACTCCAAATGTCCTAAAATGGATTTGGTCCAAAGAAACCTAGGGTCTAAAACCGTTATTTCGATGAGACACCTTTTGGCCGTATCAAATGATATAAACCGTCTCTAGCCATATGGCTGAGGGTATAAAATTAGGAAAAATACAAGTAAAAAAGCTGTAAGTTCATCCGGGCCGAACATTGAATGCCCTCCACCATTTGGAACAAAGTTGGAAAATTTCAAAATAAAGGATCCGTAAAAATTCTGTTTAAATTTTAAAAATACCGTTATATTGGGTCTATACGAAGATGTGAACCAGCATAGGTCAATACAATGTTCAAATACGAAAGTTGAAAAAATCCGCTGAATAATGTAGCTAAAATCATCAAAATGCCGTATATAGAGGTACCGATACGAAGGCCTGGACCCGCATAGGCAATTTTCTGCCACAGGCTGTAGTAACTTTTAGGAACTGCAAATACCAAATTTGAAACAATTCCGGTGGAAAATATCGCTAAAATCATCAAAATACCTGATATCGGGGGGTTCCGTTATATGAGGGCTATACGAAGACCTGGACCTGCATAGACAATTTTCCGTCACAGTCTGTAGTACCTATTAGGAACTTCAAATGCGAAATTTGAAACAATTCCGGTGTATAATGTCGCTAAAATCGTCAAAATACCGAAATTAGGAAGGTACCGATATATGGGGCCTCCACGAAGGCCTGGACCCGCATAGGCAATTTTCTGCCACAGGCTTTAGTACCTATTAGGAACTTCAAATACGTAATTTGAAACAATTTCGGTGGATAATGTCCCTAAAATCATCAAAATACCGAATATCGGGGGGTACCGCTATATGGAGGCTATACGAAGACGTGGTCCTGCACATGCAATTTTTTGTCATAGGCAGTAGTACCCATTACGAATTCTTAATACAAAATTTGAATCAACTGAGGTGAATAAAGTCGATAAAATTATCTAAATATTGAATATCGGGTTATGGGGGCATGGGGGCTATATCGGGGACCTATACAAACAATTCTCTTCCAGGGGTCAGAAGGAACTCCTTGTGTCGATTTTCAGATAATTCCGTTGAAAAAATGTGGCAAAAATCATCAAAATACCGAATATCGGGGGGTATCGTTGTATGGGGGCTATACGATATCGTGGACCTATATAAACAATTTTCTTCCAGGAGGTAAAGTAGTCACAAAGAACACGTTGTGTGGATTTTCAGATAATTTCATTGAAAAATTTGTCTACAATAATAAAAATACCGAATATAGGAGGGTTACGTTGCATGGGGGCTATACGATATCATGGACCTATATGAACGATTCTCTTCCAGGGGTTAAAGTACTCAGAAGGAACTCCTTGTGTTGATTTTCAGACAATTCCGTTGAAAAATGCGGATAAAATCATCAAAATACCGAATATCGGGGGTATCGTTGTATGGGTGCTATATGATATCGCGGACCTATGTAAACAATTCCCTTCCAGGTGGATTCTTCCTTGTGTGGATTTTAGACAATTCGTCGAAAATTTTGACTACAATAATCTAAATACCGGATATCGGGGGGTTCCCCCGTTTTATGGGGGGATATACGATATCGTGGAACGATATATCCCATTTTCGAACTTGACCTGCCTGCCGACAAAAGACAGATCTGTGAAGAATTTTAACTTCCTATCTTTATTCGTTTTGACTCTATAGTGGTCATCTTAGAATTTTACGCTGATCTTATGACGAACTCAATATACCCTCCACACTATGTATGGTGGAGGGTATAAAAAACTTCCACTGGGGTAGCCAAAAAAATGAATCCACTCCAAAATCTAACTCCGTATGGCCATCAGAAACCAAGATAGATTAAGGGAAAGAAAGAAAATAAGGGGAAGAAAAACTTAATATCCAAAATCTATACTTTGAAGGGAGGGAGGATATACTACTCTTTGTCGTTTAGTAAATATGTATATATAAATACTTTTGTTTCATATATAGTTTGTTCTGTATGTTTTCGAATATATATAAAAGTGATTGGTGTTGTGGTTTTTCTTTCTTTCTTTAATTTTGGAGGAATACATGGCCTTTTTTCTGGCCACTTCTGTGTTTTTGTTTTACTTTCAAACTTTTTTTTTGGGGGGGATTTATTTCCCGGTTTCTCAACGCCATGACCAGAGAAAATTCAAAAAATGATGATTGTTGTGCGGTACGCTAGTGGCGGCGGAAGAGGAATTATGGTGAGGAGCTGTTGTTGTAGTAGAAGTAGTTGTATTTGTAGTAGTAGAGTTGTTGTAAGCATTTAATGGACTACGGCTAGTTGTGGGAGGAGTAGTAGTAGTAGTAGAAGAATTGGATTGTTGGTCAAGTAGCAACATACCTTGACTGGTGCCGGTGCCGCCGCCGCCTCCAGTTGTTGTGGCGGTTGAGGTTGCTGCTCCGGCTGCGGCTGCCGTTGAGCCATAGGCCATTTGTGCACAGTATTGCTGTTGCTGCTGCTGCTGATGATGTTGGGGTTGATGTTGTGGCTGATGTTGTCCATAGGGACGGAATGATTGCTCATGTTGTTGTTGCTGCTGATGTTCTGAGTGTTGGGGATGTTGTTGTATTACCGATGTACCTGTATGGGAATTCGAATTGTTGGCTGTTGCCGCCTGCTGCTGCTGTTGTTGTTGTTGCTGCTGGGCAGCCGCTGCCGCAGCAGCAGCCTGCATTTGTGCATGTGGTCGCTTTTTGGGTAAAATTTGTGTCTGAGATAGTATCTTGATTTGATGGGCATCATCACCGGTCAACATTTGCCCGTGTTGTTGCTGTTGTTGGGGGTTAGGAGCACCATGAGGATCCAAGCCGTGAGCTGCGGCCAGGGCTTCATCGTTTGAGGGATTCATGTTTTGTTGTTGTTGTTGCGTTTGGGCCTGCTGCTGAGCTTGAGCTTGTTGCTGGGCTTGTTTGCCACGTTTACCACCACCGCCGCCGCCGCCACCGCCACCACTTCCGCCACCACCACCCACGGTTCCACCGCCACCATTATTTGCCTTGGCATAATTGTTTTTCCGACCACCCTTGGCCGTGGCCGCTGTATCCTCCTCCCGATCACCTTGCAAGAACTTCAAATAGCTGTCCATAAACTGGGTTTTCTTTTCGCCAATTGAGGTGCCCACCACCGGCTTCTTTTCGGGAGGCACATACGACGTTGAGTTGGCCGCTGCACTGCTATTGCCCATCAAGAGATGAGAGGAACCTGATGCATTCGAGGCACTGGCATTGGATTTCGTGGAGAGCTTGCCTGTGGAATCGTTGCTGTTTGTGTTGGGATTGTAGATGCCGATGTTGGTTGGTTTGCTCGAGGAGTTGCGTGACGTATCACTGGCACTGGCATAGCCCTGTTTGGGCGTGGAATCGGCAAGGAAATCCAATTCCTCTTCGATATTGGGTACAATCACTTTGTTGCTGGCTGCCTCTTGGGCGGCCTGTTGCTGTTGTTGCTCCTCCTGCTGTTGTTGGCTGGCTGCCGCTGCTGCTGGGGTGGCCACCACAGCATTTGTGGGTGTGGCACTTGCCACGGCGGCGTTAGCTACTGCTGGAGCCTGGGCCTGTTGCTGCTGCTGGGATTGTTGTTGCTGCTGCTGCTGAGTTGCCGCCTGTTGCTGCTGTTGTTGTTGAATTTGCTGCTGATGCTGATTGAGATTGTACAGGGTGTGCTGTATTGCTCCGGCAGCAGCTGCCGTCTGTTGCATACAGGCAGAATATTGTGAGGCAATTTGTTGTGTGAAATTGGGATAGTACGGCGATAGGTTGGTTAGGTGTGATTGGGCTTGTGATGATTGCAGATGAGCAGGTTGTGGCACTTGTTGTTGCTGCTGCTGCTGCTGGTGAGCCACTGCGGCTGCCTGCTGCTGGGCTTGCTGTTGCTGCTGCTGTTGGGCTTGCTGTTGCTGCTGCTGCTGAGCCTGCTGCTGGGCATGCTGTTGGGTATGAGGATTCACATATGTGGGAATATTTATGGCTGGCACCTGAACAGCCGGCGTTGTTGTATTGTTCTCCTGTTTCAAAGCTGTTGTATTCCATTTATTGTTAAAATCATAATATGTGGGTTGTTGTTGTTGCTGTTGCTGAACATGTTGTTGTTGTTGCTGATGATGGCTGGCTGCCGTTGCATCCTGTTGTTGGGGACTTGGTTCAGCCTCATAATCGTTGGTGATAAGCGTCTTTTTCGGCTGTCTCTTGCGTGGCGTTTTGGTGGTCTTGGCCACCATTTGTTGTTGGTGTTTCTCCTCGGCCTGCAAGAGAAAAAAAAGAGAAGAGGAAGCATAATTAATAAAAATGTCGAGAGGAAATCGGAAAACATATTATATTACAGATTTAGGGGGGGTGGATTTAAAAAAGTGTAAAATAGAAAGGGTTGGGTCAAGTGGAGGAACACAAGCATTTTGCTTTGATTTGTAAACTGTTTCAAGTGTTTGGTGTGATTTTTTTTGTTCTTTTTTTTTATTTTTTTTCAATTTTTTTTTAAATTTTTTTCTTAATTTTTTTTTATTTTTTTTAAATTCTTTTTATTAATTTTTTTATATTTTTTTTAATGTTTTTTAAAGTTTTTTTTTTTTTTAAATACAATTATATTCTAAAGAAAATGTATTATTTTACATATACATATAGTAGAAGAAATAATTCGATTTCTTACGCTCATCATCTTCCTCAACATGGCATACGACTTTTTTTATTATTTTTTTTTAAATAATTTGCTTTTATAAAACACAAACGTCACAGGTTCAAATAGGTGTTTAATATTTTTGTTGTTCATCCATCATTTTTTTTTACACAAATAAATTATTATTAGAAAAAAAAAACTAAACATAAACAACAATATTTTTTTTTTAATTTATTTACAAATATATATAAAAGTTATAAAAACGATATAGATATGTAATAAGTGTTAGTGGCTGGTATTTACAAGAAAACCACAATTAAACAAACAACAACAAGAAAGTAATACAAAATTAATTAATTAATTAGTAGTGGAAAGAAAAAGACGGCTAGTAACTACCAAAAAGACCGACCGAAAAACCACAATTACATTGAAGGTAGAAACAATGACTCTCCAGGAGAATGTTAAATATAGAAAACAAATTTCCAATCCTCCAAGGTCTCTCGCAAGAATATTGGACAGAGATTCCTTAGAAGTCTCAATTTTACTTTAAATTGAATACTAATCTCTGTTCAACTGTTGATTTATTCCAGAGCCAGCTAGAATCTACTAGTTTTGCATTCTTCTCCGATATCATAAAGGAAAAATCGGTTACTGTAGTGAAAACTTTTACATTCTTGCAGTTCTGGAACAGGTCATATATTGAAAGGAAAAAGAGAATCCTTCCAACCAACAACATTCAAAGTTAAGTTAATAATTAGTTTTGAGTTTATAAATCTACAAAATTTGTTTATTTCTAAGGAGAGTTAGAGAAGAAAAGTTTATTGAAAAGTTAGTAGAGACAGTTTTGAAATTTTGAATTGTTTTTTTTTTTTCTTAAAGATACACAGAACACAGAAGAGGAAGATGATTTGGTTTTCTATAAATTTTTTTCAAACACATTTTCTTTAATATTTTTTCTATATAAAAATACTTGTAATTATGTGCAAAATTAATAAATAAATAACAATAAATGGGTTAGGAAGCTAGCGATTTTATACGGTTAGTGGGAATATGGAAGCTAAATTTTGAAAAATGTTTCTTTTCAATATCGAATGAAAATATTACTAGAAAAAGGGAAGGCCTTGAGGGACCACGAAAAGATAAGAATAAAAACTTTTTGACTATTTGATATTTTCAACAATTTTATTTTTAAACAAGTCCTTCTCAATATCGAAGAGGGGTGGGACTTTTCGTTTTTGTCAACAATTTATTTTTAGAAGCCAACATTCTGAAAAATTTCCTTTTCAATATCGAAATGGAGCCCTAAGAATAAATAATGAGACTTTTCAATTTCATAAACAATGCATATAAATAACAAGTAAAAAGGCTGTAAGTTCGGCCGGGCCGAACTTTGAATACCCTCCACAATTTGGGACAAATTTGGAAATTTTCAAAAAAAAAAAATATATTCTATTAAAATTTTAAAAATTAGAAACTATACGACGGCGTGGAACTTCATAGGCAACTGTTGTAATAAGCCATAACAATATTCAAATGCGAAACATGAAAAAAAATGTTACTAAACGTGGACCTGCACAGACAATTTTCTGTCATAGGTTACCATTATATGGGGGCTATCCATTACGAATTTCAATTCTAAATTTGAAAAAAAATTCCGCTGAATAATATCGCTAAAATCATCAAAATACCGAATATAGGGAGGTACTATTATATGGAGGCTATACCAAAACGTGGACCTGCACAAACAATTTTCTGTCATAGGCTATAGTATCCATTGCGAACTTCAAATACCCAATTTGAAACGATTCCGCTGAATAATGTCACTAAAAACGCCAAAATACCGAATATCGGTAGGTACCGTTATATGAGGGCTATACGAAGACGTGGACCTGCACAGACAGTTTTCTGTCGTAGGCTGCAATATCCATTGCGATCTTCAAATTCCAAATTTGAAACATTTTCGGTGAATAATGTATCTAAAATCTTTAAAATACCGAATATCGGGAGGTACCGTTATATGAGGGCTATACGAAGACGTGGACCTCCACAGACAATTTTCTGTCATAGGCTACAATATCCATTGCGAACTTCAAATACTAAATTTGAAACATTTTCGGTGAATAATGTAGCTAAAATCATCAAAATACCGAAAATAGGGAGGCCATTATATGGGGGCTATACGAAGACGTGGACCTGCATAGACAATTTTCTGTCATAGGCTATAGTATCCATTGCGAACTTCAAATACCAAATTTGAAACATTTTCGGTGAATAATGTACCTAAAATCATCAAAATACCGAATATAGGGAGGTACTATTATATGGAGGCTATACCAAAACGTGGACCTGCACAAACAATTTTCTGTCATAGGCTATAGTATCCATTGCGAACTTCAAATTCTAAATTTGAAAAAAAAAATCCCCTGAATAATATCACTAAAAACATCAAAATACCGAATATCGGGAGGTACCGTTATATGGGGGCTATACGAAGACGTGGAGCTACATGGCTCATTTTCTGTCTTAGGATGTAGTATCCATTACGAACTTCAAATGCGAAATTTGAAACAATTCCGCTGAGTAATGTCGCTAAAATCATCAAAATACCGAATATCGGGAGGTACCGTTATATGAGGGCTATACGAAGGCGTGGACCTGCACAGACAGTTTTCTGTCGTAGGCTGCAATATCCATTGCGAACTTCAAATACCAAATTTGAAACATTTTCGGTGAATAATGCCCCTAAAACTTAAAAATACCGAATATCGGGAGGTACCGTTATATGGGGGCTATACAATGGCGTGGACCTGCACGGACAAGTTTCTGTCATAGGCTATAGTATCCATTGCGAACTTCAAATACAAAATTTGAAACAATTCCGGCGAATAATCTCGCTTAAATCATCAAAATGCCGAATATCGGGAGGTACCGTTATATGAGGGCTATATGAAGACATGGACCTGCACAGACAATTTTCTGTCATAGCCTGTAGTATCCATTACGAACTTCAAATACCAAATTTGAAACAATTCCGGTGAATAATGTCGTTAAAATCATAAAAAATACCGAAAATAGGGAGGTGGCATTATATGGGGGCTATAACAAAACGTGGACCTACATGGTGCATTTTCAATACCAAAAGTCCTGCAGATATAATATACATTTGAGTAAAATTTTATCAACCTACTTCTTTCGTTCAGAAGCTAGAGTGATTTCCACAACTTTGTGGGGTCTAAAATATATATTTGGAGGTGTTACTATAGCGGAGGGTATAACAAGTTAAAAAAGTATCAGTCGGTTCTGCCGACAGATGTCTACCCCAAGCCTTGAGCTATGATTATTCAAATTGTTGACCGTTTGTGGGGAAGGTAGCAGAAGGAGTGGACCGATATATTCCATCTTCACAGCAGATCTTCTGTTAGTAGAAATAATAGGATGTGTGAAATATGAAGAGAGCCAGATATTTATTTCGGATTTTATAATCGTTATGGTTATTGAAATTTTTTACCCTTTGTGGGGGAGGTACCAGAAGGAATGGTCCGATCTCTACCATCTTTATAACAGATCTTGTGTCGATGGAAGTATTGAGATGTACTATGTCTGAATGGAATCGAATATTAATTTCACGTTTCATGAACTTCATGGATGTTCAAAAATTTGACCCTTTGTGGGGGAGGTATCAGATGGAGTGGACCCATATATTCCTTCTTCACACCAAGCCTTGGGTTAATAAAAATATTGTGATGTGTGTAATTTTCGTTATAATTTTTCAAAATTTTGACCCTTTGTGGGGTGAGTACTCTCTCTAGTCAGGTGGCTGAGGGTAGAAAATCCAAGTTTTAGTAGTCAGGGGACCCTTAAAATATATTTTAAAAAAATCCACGTGTAGTGATCCTTCAACATGATTAACATTTCCAAATTCCAAAAAATCCACCTTTTGTTGCCCTGGCTACTTTAAGTAATAAAAATCTACGTTCAGTTACCTATGGGTGGAAAAAAATTGCCTTTGATGAAATGTAGGATTGGAATTTAAAAAAAAAAATCCAATATTGGTGGTATGTAGTACCGTAAAAAAATAAGAAAACATACTTGGTAGTCTGTGGGTCATTGAAAAAATATTTTTTTAAATGCCGTTTTTGGTTGTCTGTCCTTAAAATTGAATCCTAAAATGTGGGGCATACTTTTAGGCATTAAACAACAGACTTAACGACTCCCCATAACCTCAACAATTTTTGGAAAATTTTGTTATTCTAAAAAAAGAAAACTAATTTGTGGCAAACAAAAAATGAAATAAATTAAAAAAATAGTGTGGAAAAATAATAATAAAAAAATTAAAAATAAAGAAAAAAAAGTTAAAAAGATAATAAAGAAGAAAAATAATAAAATTAATGAAATAAATACAAACCTTAGAATTTATTTGAATCTGTGACGTTGTTGTGCCTGAAGTAGACAATGACGACGTAGACGACGACGTTGCCTGATGGGAAGACGAAGAAGGCGTAGTAGAGCTATTGTGTTGGGTATGGTGGTGGTTATTTGGCGACGCTGTGTTTTGGGTGGCGGCGGTGACGGCGGCGACGGCATTGGACGGTGACATTAGCATGTTGGCAATCATGTGCTGGCGTCGTTTTTCGGCGGCTGGTTGGCGGTTATGTTCATTGTACAAATGTTGTTGCTGCTGTTGTAGCAGTAAATGTTGCTGCTGCTGGGCATGTTCTTGCTGCTGCTGCTGCTGTTGGGTATGTTGTAACACCGAGTTGCCCACAGCAATGGCAACAGGTTGTTGTTGCTGCTGCTGCTGATGATGATGAGCATTGCTATTCACCATGGTCTGTTTGATTTCCAAACCGGGTGGCAAATTGAAAATTAAATTTTCACTCAATACAACATTGCCCGGATAGTCTAGGCTATGGTGTTCCTGTTTAACCTGTAATTGTATGACATTTTTCACATCTTCTTGACCACCACCACCGGCGGCAGCATCATCTTCCTCGATTTTCCACAGGTGTATTTGTTGTTGATTGTGCTGTTGCTGTTGTTGTTGTTGCATCGCTTGATTATGCTGCTGCAAAGTACTTTGTATCACAGATGAATAGGCAACGGCATTATTGCTATTGTTGGCGGCGGCGGCGGCGGCGGCGTTGGCCACTGTTGCAGGCGAACCAGCGTTTGCAACATGTCCCCTTCCCCGCCCCCTTATGGACGTTTCCGCCGCCGCACCAGCCGCTGTAGGTGTTTTATAAACAATTACTTGCGGTGGCGTGGTGGCGGCCACATTGTGCAGTGCTGGCGAGGAGTTGCCGGTGGAGCTTAAAGCTGGACTGGCATAGACAGGATAGTGTTGGGTGGTGGTCGATGATGCTGGACTAGGATGTTGTTCGATTTGTAACACATGCTGTTGTTGTTGTTGTTGTTGCGGTTGTTGAGATTTTCTTACAATTTTATACTGTTTGCCATCAATTTCATCGATGTAGATCTCTTCTTCCTGCTGCTGCTGCTGCTGCTGTTGTAATTGTGTGAGGTATAACAAATCATTGTAGACTTTTACTTGAGCCTTAGTACACTGGGTGGTATTTTCTTGTTTGATTTGCTGTGGTTATTTTCAAATTCAATTTGGGATCATTTTTTGTGGTTTTTTTTTTTTTTTTGAAACCAAAATTCAAAATTTTGTCGTCGATTTTGTTTTGGGATATTTTTTGTTGTTGTTTGGTGGTAGAAGAAAAAAAGAGTTGGGAGTAGAAAAGATATTTGGTTTGTTTTGTGTTTGAGGTATAAGTTTTTTAAATGTTTTTTTTTTTTTTTTTTTTTTTAAGAAGAAATTAAATTATATTTAATTCCCATATTAGTGTGTATGTGTGTGTTGTTATATTTAATATATATATAAAGGAGAAGGAAGAAGAAAAAATGGTATATATAAATAAATAAGTATGTATGCATTAATGTAATGCCACCTGCAGCATTTGCAAGGTACATTAAGTAAATATGTTATGTATGTGTATGAGAGATGTGAGTGTGTATGTGTGTGGAGTATATGTTGGAACTGTCCTTTGTTATGTGCCAAATGGTCTATATGTATGTAATAGTATTTGTATGTATTTCTTCTTTTTGTAAACTAGCACAGAGATATAGGGGAAGACTTCTTTCTTCCAGAAGATATCTCAGTGTTAAGTTATAATATTCCTGGCATACTTTTAGGCATAAGTACTAACTCAAAGGAAAATATACAAATCAAGGTCAAAAAATTTCCGTTTTTAAACTTTTTTGGGTGTTAAAAAAAGATCCACACTACTTGCAAGTTATGGAAGTGGCTGGCACCTTCAAAATATTGAAAATCAGAAGGTAGCGTTATTTGAAGTTATAATAAAATGTGTATTAATTAAAAACATATTTCGGTGGTCTGTAAGTCCTTAAAAATATATTCTTAAACATCGTTTTATCCTTAAAACACGTATTGCAATTCAATTAGATGAACTTCGTAAAAAATTACGCTCGAATCCCATACATAAAATATTTAAAACTTTTCTTTAAAAAATGTGGCTGAAATTCCGACAAAAGTATCAGTCGGTTGTGCCGACAGATGTATACCCTCAGCCAATGTTTTGATTGATTGATTATTCAAATTGTTGACCCTATATGTGGTAAGTTCCGAAGCAACGGACCAAATTTGTTCACTTCGTATCGGACCTAAATAAATATTATATAAATATTGCGACGTGCCAGGTTATTTCGCTTTCTTTGACCGTTTTGTTTTTCAAAATTTTGAAATCCTATGTGGGGATGGTACCAGAAAGAAATGGTTCGATCTCTACCATCTGAGATGTGCCAAGTCGGAATGAAATCGGATGTTAAATTCCCGTTTTATGACTTTATGGATATTCAAAATTTCAAAATTTTGAACTTTAGTGGGGGAGGTACCAGAAGGAGCGGGCCGATATCTTCACACCAGGCTATGGATTAATAAGAATATTGTGATCTGTGTAATTTGGAGATAATCGGACACTTACATCACATTTTATTAGAGTTATAATTATAAAAAATGTTGAGCCTTTGTATGGGAGGTACCAATATTGCCCATATAGGAGTGGACCTACATTGCACATTATAGCACCTAACCTAAAAATTTTGTTTATTCTTTATCTTTCTGTGCAATAAAATATTTTTTGGAAAATTTCGACCTATTCTGGGGGAGGTACTAGAACGAGTGGAGCGATATTGCCCATCTCCGAACTCAATTTAAGTCTGATAATAATATTACGATGTACCAAGTTTGGACCAAATCGGATACTCCATTCGAGAGTTATCGTTCGCACCAGCCAGTCAGACAGGCGGCCCTAGATCGACTCGGAATGTTCTTCGATCGGTCGAAATATCCTGAAACGGATTTGGTCCAAACCCCGATCTCAATGTGGTACGTTTTGGTGGTATCAAATGATATATACCCTCTGTAGCGATATGGCTGAAGGTATAAAAATGTGGTACAGTTATATGGGGAAACTATGGGACCTATAGGTGGTACTGTATAAGTTTGATACGTTCCAACTTAACTTCCCGAGACCAGTCAATCACGTATGCTAATTGACACCACGGGCATCTCCTCGGCAACTTCCCTCGGCGGAGACCGTAGAGCGCAGATGCCAATGGACGGTGGTTGTTGAATTTGCTCTCCTTTCTTTACCTGTCACTAATTGTAATATTTGTTAGTATTAGTAATAGACAAAGATCCTCGGCGTTCACTTGTCGATCAGTAATTGAAGTGTACACATCTCGCGCTCTAACACCTCGTTCACGGTTATACAAACCCGGCCTTTGACACCACCCAAATTACAAAGGTTGTTACCGCTGTGGAAGCCCTTCCTCCACTCCCCATTTGCCATTCCTCAAAATGTTCGTCATAGACCCCATAAAGTATATATATTTATGATCAGAGTAGAATTCTATGTCAATTTAACAATATCCGTCCGCGTCTGTTAATATCATGATAGGGCTCGTACTATTAAAGATTGAAATTTTGAACAGGTATCGACATTTTCCTTAGTATGTTTGGTATTGAAAATGGAACATATCGTTCCACTTTTATGTATAGTTCAAGGTTTTGGTAGCAAATTCCAACTAGACCAGCTGTTAATTTGTATTTTGGGTTCTCTAAAAATTACGAAAGTAAGTCAGCTTCTTGATATGAAAGTAGGTCAAATTGTTGGTACGTGGTACAACGGTACGACTTGATATTTCGATATCATAGAAGTTTTCGGTGCCAATTTCCAAACAGATCAGCTTGCAAATTGCAATTCAATGCAGGTCAAATTTTTGTTACAGTTTCCAAAATGGTACCTCCTGATATTTCGTTATTTAAAAGGTTTCTGTACCAATTTCAAGTCAACTGAAATTTAACAATTCGGTCTCTGTGTGGTTAGGTTTACTCCTTCCAAACAAAAATCTTCAAATGTAGTTCCAATTTTTATTTCAGGCCCCATAAAAAGTACCTCCTGACATTTCTATATTTCAAAGTTTGCTACGGTGACAAATTCCAATTTAATCAGCTGCTATTTGATAGTTCGGGTACGCTGTGGTTAAAGTTACTCATCACAAAAAACGTTAAATGTATCTCAACCAATATTTGGTACGTGGCCCATATAACACAACATCTCCCGATATTTCAAAATTTCCAAGGTTTCCGAATCGTATTTTCAACCAAAGCAACTGTAGTTATATTTCCTTTACGTTGTGGTTGGTCCTTTCAAAAATATAAATATAGTCCCCCCCATGCAACGGAACCTCCACATTTTTTATACCCTCCACCATGGGTAGGAGGGTATATTAACTTTGTCATTCCGTTTGTAACACCTCTAAATATTCGTCGTAGACCCCATAAAGTATATATATTCAAAATCAGCATAAAATTCTAAGACGATTTAGCGATGTCCGTCTGTCTGTCTGTCCGTCTGTCTGTCTGTCTGTTGAAATCACGATAGAGCCCACATTATTTGACGTAGACCTTTGAAATTTGGCACAAGTGTGTGTATTGTCCCTAGGATGGTTGGTATTGAAAATGAGATATATCGGTCCACGTTCTGGTATAGTCCCCATATAACGGTACCTCCCGATATTCGGTATTTTGATGATTTATGCCACATTTTTTCACGGATTTGTCTGAAAATTGGTATTTGTAGGTCATGACGGGTCCCTGAGCGTGTGGCAAAACATTGCATGTATAGGTCCACGTTTTGGTATAGCCCCCATATAACGGTACCTACCGATATTCGGTATTTTGATGATTTATGCCACATTTTTTTCACGGATTTGTCTGAAAATTGGTATTTGTAGGTCACAACGGGTCCCTGAGCGTGTGGCAAAACATTGCATGCATAGGTCCACGTTCTGGTATAGTCCCCATATAACGGTACCTCCCGATATTCGGTATTTTGATGATTTATGCCACATTTTTTCACTGATTTGTGTAAAAGTTGGTATTTGTGGGTCATAATGGGTCCTAGTTCGTGTGGCGAAAATTTGTAATTATAGGTGCACGTGTTGGTGTAGCCCCTATATAACGGTACCTCCCGATATTCGGCATTTTAATGTTTTTGCCACATTTCTTCTAATGTTCTTTTACCCTAGGGTGGAGGGTATTAAAAGTTTGGCCCGGCCGAACTTAATGTTTTTTTACTTGTTTTGAGTTTTGAGGTGTCAAGTTGTCACAGGGTATTAGCAATTCATCCCGGCTGAGCTCAATGTAGTTTTACTTGTTTTTCATTCCATCTATATCCCATTTTAGGATGGTCCCTGAAAGCTCCGTTGGTTGCCAAGTTATGTACTTCTTCTGCGTCCATCCCTTCCATTCAAAAATAAAATCTTTAAGTATTTTCAAATATGTTATCCGTTACTCTATATCTCCTACACATACAAATACCAATACATACATAAATGCTATATAAAATACTGTGTAGAGTTTTTGAAGTTTTGTAGAGATTTGTTAAAGTGTACGTACGTATAAATGTAAGAATGCATGTGTATATCTGGGCAGAAGGCTATTTGAAAATCTGTTCTGTTGTGTGTAGTATAAAAATATGGAGGGTTTTTCTTCTATGGAGTACAGTAAAGTTTGCAATATTGTTCCATTATTATCTACAACAACCTATCTTGACCAGTGACAATTGTGTGGAATTAAAACTGGACACAATAAATGTGCAAAATGAATGTAAATATGGTTATTTAGGAAGCTACACATACATACATACATGTATAGAAAGCAAACAAATACAGGCATACAACCAAACCACACACAGACGCACACACAAATATGAATGAATGCAGGCATGTATGTTTGGTAGGAATGTACGTGTTTTATTATATCCCTTTTTCCAACATTTTGTCTGCCGATTGTCGTCATTTCGTTTGTCTGGGGCCCTACCAGAATTGCGAGTGTGTATTGTTATTACTATTTACTGTATGGTATATAATATAATGCACATATTACATATACATATGTATGTATGTGTGTATATAAATAACATATGTATATACTCGCTCATATGTTTGATATTCATTGCGAATGCTGTTCCTGACACACACACACACACACACACACACACA